CTGGGTGCAGGCAGACAGAAAGTGAAAAGACCTTTTGTGGGGAACAAAGAAGAGTGTCTTTTATAGGGATGGCAGGAGGCCAAGGAACATTAGGCTGGAAGGTTTTAGTAACCACCTGTGGTCAAAGTTCCCTGGCTGTCTTGCACCTCAGTGGGCAAAGTGCTTGAAGTGTCTAGTGTAAAGTTTTGGGTGTCTCCAGATGTCCTGGAGCCTGCAAAATTCCGTGTCCTATCTCATCTCCTCCACCACATCCCGTGCTTAGCCTTGACAGCTATGGTGTTGAGCTGAGTTCCTTCTTAGAGTAGTGCTTTTGTGGGCAAGCAGGCTGGGAGAGTGGTCCAGTTGGAGTCTTATGTAAAGAACGTGCAATTATGCGTCTAACATCAAGACCTTTACACTGTTGTTTTTTCTTTTCCTGGAAATTCCTGTAATTTATTCTCTCATCTCCTCAGATCTTCCCTGACCATACTCTACCACAGTCCCCATTCCTTTCCTGTCTCTCTTTCTTCCACCCATAATCTTTTTCTCTGTAGCATTCATCATTCCCTGGTATAATAGAGTTACTTGATTATTATTTCCTGACTGCCTTCAACACACCAGCAGAGAGTTAGTTTTGCAAACTGCTGTATCATCAGAGTATAGAATAATGCCTGATGCACAGTGATAGTCAATATAAGTTTGATGAGTGAATGCATGAAATAATTACATAGATACACACATGAATCATAGCTGTGCCTGGTGCTGTAAGAGAGAAGAATTGGCCTTTTCTTCTGATTAATTGTCTTGTCTTAGAGAATTTAATTTGCATCTCTCAATAACCAGTGGTCTTCAACGTATTTCCATATATTTATTTGCCATTCCACTTCATCTGAGAAGTGTCTATTTCAGATGCCCATTTTTGGATTGGATCTTTAAATTTGGGAGCGTCTGATTTTTTCTTTTGACTCTTTATATGTTCTCGATAGTAGTCCTTTGTCTGATGAACATCCGGAAAATATTTTTTTTCTGATACTGTGGATTGTCTCTTCCCTCTGTTGGTAGTTCTGTTGCTGTACAAAAGCTTTCTAAGATGAAATCCCAGCTGTTGATTTTTTGTGATAGTATCTGTGCAATCAGGGTTTTATTCATAGAGTCTTTGTCTACACTAATGTCTTCCAGAGTTTTACTTATTCTATCTTCCAGAAGATTTAATGTTTCTGTTTTAATATTTAGATTTTTGATGCATTTTGAATTTAGTGTAGTACATGGTGATAGGTATGGGTCCAATTTTAATCTTTGGCATATGAAAAACCAGTTTTTCCAGCACCATTTATTAAATCTGCTGTGATTTTGATGGACTTTTCTTTATAAGTGATTTGTTTCTTTTCTCTAACAGCAGTTACTATTGTTCTTATATTGAATTTCTGGAATCTTGACCACTATATCCCTTGTTGTACATGTTTTTGAGTAGGGCTAATTGGAGCTCTAAATACCTTACTTATCTGAATGTCAGTTCCTTTTCCCTGCTTGGAAAATTTTTGGCCATTACTTCTGGAAACATTATTTTTAATGTCATTTGTGCTATGTCTTGCTTTTTCATTGCTCTGGATCAATCTTATTGTTTTGGTTACTTCTCTCTCATTGTTGAGACAAAATGCCAGACCTCCAAAATTAGGGAAGGAAAAGTGTATTTAGCTTATAGTTTTTGGAGGTTTTGGTCCATACTCAGCTGGCTCCAAGGCAGGATGGCATGGCATGGGGGTGGCCATTCATGGCAATGGCAGGTACCAAAGGTGAGAAGAGCAAATAGGCCAAAAAGAGAGGAGCAAAACTCATTCCCTTCCTTATGTTGTACGCCAGCTACCTACCCCAGTGTGGCTGTGGTGCTCATACCACCAATCCTAGTGCTAGACAATGAACTAATCACAAATGCTAGACTCAGTTGCCTTCAAAAGGCCAGGCCCCCATGACTGCATGAGGCTTTGAGGGGACATCCAAACACAAACTATAACATGTTATTTTTCTTTGCATCACCTAGCAGCAGTTGGATGGATTTTTTATCATCTATTGCTATTTTTTATGGTTCCTTTCTTTTCATGATCACTAACCACAATCATGTCTTCTATATCTGAAATTCTATCTTCAATTGGCTCATTCTGGTGCATATAATTTCAGTGGAATTTTTTTTATCTCCTGGAAAATTTGGATAATCTGTTTTTTGGATTCCATTTCTTTTCTATCTTGGTTGTTCATGATTTCCATCATTTTTCTATGCTCCTATTTTTTTTCTTAAGTCAGTATCTGCTCTAGAGTAACTAAACATATTTTTCATTATGGTCATCATCTGTGTAATAAGTGAAAAATTATGTCTGATTTGATTTTTTTTTCTAGAGCTTATTCTGCTTTGTTTCTTCTGCTGTTACCACTTCAGAGTCCAGGTGAGTGACTTTTGGATTGTTTCACCTCATTGCTGGTTGGCTTTGCCTTTGGTGAGCTGGAAGTCTGAGTTGCATCTTATATAAATGTTTTCTCATATCCTATGTTTTTTAGTTCAGTTCCTGGGTTTCTGTTTACAAATTTCTTATACCACATAGCTTTACTGTTAGTATTTAGAACCCTGAAGAAATAACTACTCAGAGATGTCTTACATGGCTCTTGGGTTTTAAGTCTGTTGCAGTATATCCTGCCTCTTAAATTTACTGGGGATGAGAGGTTGCTGCCTGCTTGGCCCAGCCTCTGGTTCTTTGGCACTAGCCTAAAATATTGCTTATGATTCTTAAGCAATCTCAGTCTTGGTATACAGAAAGAATAATTAGGACAGTTATGTTACCTTGGTTAAAGTAGCATAATCAACAATAACATAGCACCAAACACAGCCTAGAAAATGACATATGTGGTAACTATTAACTTGGCACCTTTCATCAATATGAACTAGATGTGTGGTTATATAACAAAATATAAAACAACCTAGGAAATTTTATACTGTAAATAAGCCCTTAATGTGGTGATTTTATACTCTGGAGAAAATTTAAAAGGAGTTAGGGGAATAAATAGAGAAATAGAAGAAGAGGAAGAGATTAAAAACAAGGCTAGAGTGGGCTTGGTGTGGTAATGTTTATTTGTAATCCCAGCACTTAGTAGGCTGAGGCAGGAGAGCTGCTGTGAGTTCGAGGCCAGTCTGAACTATACAGGGGGATACTGTCTCAAAAAAAAAGTAAAGAAAAGAAAAAGAAAGAAAGAAAAGAAAGAAAGAAAGAAGGAAAAAGAAAGAAAGAAGGCTTGAGGATAAAAGTAGATTATAAATTTTGGGACACTGGTAAAGAATATTGGAGGGAAAGTGAGAAGGAAGAAATAAAAAGAACAGAACAACAAGAATACCCCTCCTCCCCCGGAAATCATGTTCACATTCATAAGAAAACAAAAAGAAACAAAAAAGCACAAAACAAAACATGGAAAGTAAGAAAAAAAGAGAAGCAACTAGTTTTTACAAATGTCTACTCAAGGCGTGTCTCTGCTATCATTGATAGACAAAGTGCGCTGTTTGAGTCCAGATCCAATTTGATTAGTCTCAGTAAACCAGCCATAGCTTTAAGGCGGGGTAGTGGATAATCCCAGGAAGCCTACACCTTTCGTTTTCACTGAAGTTCAGGCTGGGCCCTTGAACTGGGCTCCCTGACTGAAAGGGTTTTGGCCCAGGCCGGATACTGTAGCCGGTAAAGCCTGGAAGCTCCTATCTCCCCCACCCTTAGGAATTACCTCTGGCGCCAAACTAAGACCAATGGGCTACCTGTGCATCCCTAATGCCCCCTTGGGTTCCACCCCAGGCCTAGGCTACTTATGTCCCTCACTCCACGTGTTCCACGGAGAGATCGCTGGCCTGGGGTGGAGATGCCATGCCCCAGGGAGCCGGGAGTGTCTCTCCCCGCATTCTCAAAATAAAGGTCATTTATATTTCATACTTCTTATCTTTTCAGCCCCGCAGGTCCTCCTCCCCCCACAGTTCTATCACGGACCTCCTGCTGAGTTGAGTTCTGCAGCCTCACCTTGACTGGGAGACACTAGAGGGCGCCATCCTGCAGTTGTTCTGAGTTTTGAGCTCAGCTGGCCCCTCTCCAAGGTGGCTATCACCCAACTGACCTCTCCTGGGTGTCTTCTGAACCCAAATAACCCACCAATCAGTGTAATCTGCTGTGTTGACTGCTCCATTCCACAGGAGCGTTTCTCCCTGGTGACCTCTGAGGTTGCCAGTAGTCACCATGTATCTGCAGGTTCAAGCTTTCTCTTCCATGAAATGAATCAGGGCTCAGGGAGAAAGCAGTGCATACTACATTGATTGAAGTCTTTCTCTTCACCTTCCTGTGAGCTTTAGTTCTTCAGATCCTTCCTGCGTGCCAGGGACCCACTTTGATCCTTACTCTCTTCCTCCTGATGCTATATTGCAGCATCTGGACAACCGAGTCTCACAGGGGCTCTTTCTTTGCTGTCCACCCCTCCACCATCATTCTGGAAGGCATATTGTCACTCTAAGTTTTAGCCATTCTAGCGAGCTTTTAGTGGTCTCACTGTGGTTTAATTTGTGTGCTCTTGTAACTAATGCTGTAATAATCCTTTGTGTGATTACTAGACAATTGTATATTTATTTTAAAGAAGTTTACCTTTATATCTTTTCTTTCATTGACTTGCTTTTCTTTTTAATTATAAGGGTTTTTTAATATTCTGGATATAAATCTCATAGGAGATATAAGAGTGTCTGTCTTGTAACCACTCCTCTCCACTGGCATCCGTGGAACAGAGACAGGTGGTAGAATATAAATAGGCCATTGTAGTCATTAAGGAGAGAGATGAATATGTCAGGCTAGGACAGGGGGCTCAATGGAGTAAAGTAGTTGGAATTTTAAAATTATTTTTTAGAAAACTTAAGGAACTCTGGGTATCCATACTCCCTTTTGTCTTTTGAATGTTCTTAACCTTGTAACAAAACAAACCTGAGCCACTTCTACACTTGGATTAACTGCAGGAGAATGTCTCAGGAACCTAGGACACGCTCCCTTTTCCTGGTCCTTTTCCTGAGCCATGGAGTGGCAGGTCAGAAAACTTCAAATTCCAGGCAGGGTAAGTCCTGAGGGAGGAATCCCTCCCACAGTTTCCATGCGTGTTAGGGAATGTAGTGGGGTAGATCAGTTTAGGCCTTCAGGAATTTTGAGGTGTACTCATGTGTGCATTGGTGAATGTGTGTGTGGGCTGGTGGTGAGAAGTGGTAGACGTGTAGGATTTTCAGGGTTATTCTAAAAGTGTTTTTCAAACCGGAGTTTTCTCACATTTGGTGCAGGTAAAATTAAAATTCACTAAACATTTCCTTTATGAGTGACTTTTCGGGGGGCTCTTCTCATGCATATTTGTATTTTTGAAAGTCACACAGTTCAATTCTGATTATACATTCAATGGCTTTCTTACAGATTTGGATCCATTGTTGCAAAAAATGGCGGTGAGTGTTTCATTTACTTCTAATCAAAATTCCCTCCAATGGCACTACTAACTTTTGAATGTTATACCTGATGTTATCTCTTTGCCTTTTAGGAAGAAATAATAGAGGGAAGCTATCTGAATGGTAATGTACCCACTGTGTTCCCACCTTGCATCTTTTACAAATTTCATACAGAATGCAACTGTGATCTCTCTGGAATGGTTCCTTTAAAGTTGTCTTTTCATTTTATTCCCATTGTAGCATTTCTGGATCTTATACAGTTTCAAAGGTAACTTGCCCTAGAGGGGAGGGAAGGGATGGGATAGATTTTGAATAATAATTTTTAAAAGTATGTTAATTGTAGGAAGTAATACATGTTCATTATAGAAAATATCAATCAGTGCACAAGTGTAGAATTGACATTATGGTTTAGGAAACATTCATTCCTTCTCTGCATTAGAGTAAAAGTCAAAAATTTTGCAATGCTTATAACACAGCAGGCACTATTCCCAGTGCTTGGTGCACAGCAACACACGTAATTCACACAAGTGGTCTGCAAGGTAGGTCTGGTTGTTATCTCATTGCACACAATAGTGGAACTGGGGCTCGGGGAGGTTGAATGGAGGCCACACAGCTGGAAAGTGGTGAAGCTGGGATGAGACTTCATCCAGAACCTGGTTCCAGAGCTTGCCTGTTCCTTCCACTGTCCTGCTGTGTGCTGCCCACAGGTCTGTGGTAGGTGCTCAGGATATGACTCCTGGGACCAGGCATGGCTGACATTAACCAAAAATAGGGTTATTTTATCCTATTGTAAATACATAATCCTATTGTAGTAATAGAATTGTTATAACAAAGGAGAAGAAATGGGGCCTTGGAGTCCCATGACAAGGACACTCAGTTATGTTGAAGTGCAAGACCTCTGTGAATGTTTTTCTTCTTAACAGAACTCCTGTTGGTAGTTTTGGTGTATTTTCTCAGGCTGAATTACTTATTTATCCCATTCAATCATGTATTTATATGTAACAAATGTGGGATCACATAAACTTATTTGTAGATCTTGGAGTGTAGCTCAGGGATAGGTGTATGCTTGGCATGGACAAGGTTTTGGGTTCTAATCCCAGCACTAAAATAACAGTGACAACAGCAACAAAAGATTACTTGTACATATTGATTAGGTATTGGGCACTGTTTTGAAGTGCTTTCCATCCACTTTTGAATCCTTGCAATTGTTTGCCATATTTCATAAAAGGGAAATAAAGCACTAGAACAATCTGCAAATTGCCTGAGTCTATGCGGCTAAGAGTTAGAGTCAGGATTCAAATCCAAATTTGGAGCCCATTCTCAATTACACAGCCTGTGGGATATCTCAGCTTCTGCTTTTTACACATAATATAGGGAGGATTACATTTACAATCCAATTTGTTCAACTATAAACAGTCCACCTGGATTGTTATGGGAATCAGAATACTGTGCACGGCTCAGAAATTGATAATCATTTTGAGACAATGGGATCCAAGCAGATTCTTGAATTGGAAATTCCCCCAACCTCTGTTCTAGGTTAATGTGGCTTCTTGTTCCAAGTGCAGAGTTCCTAGCATCTAGGCCATTTTTCTATCCTCTCAGCTAGGACCCTGGGCACACAACTAGTGTAGTGCTCCATGTAGGGGAAGTTGTCATCATAACTTTCTCCCATCTGTCTTTCACTGAAGTGCCCATGGGTGGACGACTGACCTGTCCTACCAAGTCCTGGACTACCTGAATTCCCGGAATGTTGCCTACACCCTTCCCAGCCTGCAGGTGTGTATTGGAGAACCATCTGCACTTTCTACTGTCAGTGCTCATGGATCGCAAACCCAGGGGTCAGGAAAGTGGAAGAAGTATGCCAGGTATAGACACAGTGTGCACTTCCACAAATAAAAATATTCTGTCCATTTTTTCTTGAAAAATAATACAAGATCTTCTGTCTCTCATTTTCTTACTTTTGATGGAGACATGGTATATAGTAAGGCATAGACTAATCTGCTGTAACCAAGAGACCCCAGAGCTGTTGTAATGTGGACTTTAGTTTATTTCTTTTTCATACAACCCTGCAGAGCTAACTGGGAGACCCAGAAAGAAAAGGCAGCTCTCTTTCAAAAGACTACCCAGGAGCCTGAGTGTCTTTTGTCTCTTTTTGATCTGTTATTCTGTAGAACTTGTTACCCCCATGGTGGAAGAAATACATCTGCCCTTCAACCCAGAAGAGGGAGGTGGGAAGAGGAAGTGAAGCATGAGTATCTTTTAGACTGAGGCTGTAACTTGAAAGTTACACAATTCCTTCTGTTCATATTGCATTGGCTTACATGCCATGGTCACAGCTTACTGCAAAGAAGCCATGCACACAACTGAAACTTGAGGACTTCTGTAGATAAAAAGAAGAAAGGAATGTATTTTTCAGTTTTCTATTACTGTGACAAAATATCTGGGATGTATAGTTATAGAGAAAAGAAGTTTATTTAGTTTACAGTTTCAGAGGCTAACAGTCCAGACAGCATAGTGGTGAGAAGTCATTCATCGCACTGAGGGCTCCCTTGGCTGTGTGACCTAACAATGGTGGATTTGAATGTGAGAGGGAGAGGTCACATGTTAAGACAGGAAGCAAGAGCACAATTTAAAGTTCAGGTTCAAACTTATAACAAACCTTTTATAACATGAGAGCTAACCGGCTCCCATATGAACTACATCAATTCCTTCCAAAGTCAGTGACCCTATGACATCCCACTAGGCCCTACCTCTTAAAGGTTTCATCAGCTCTTAGTGCTGCCACACGAGGGGCCACCCTTATAATACATGATGCTTTGTGGGAGGGCGGCCCAGACCACATTCAAACTACAGCCAGGGAAGTGGCTTTCAATCACGGATCCAAGAAGTATTCTTCTTTGCCTCTAACATTAACTATAAAGGAAATAACAAGCATAACAATGTTGATAGGTGGCAGTGGATATCACCCTGAGAGTGCTGAAGACTGTGGTGAAGGACAGATTGGCATAACTGTCAATAGCACACACATTTGAAGAAATAGTATTTAAAAACTATTATCTAGTTTAAATATGCCTCCAGCCACAGTTTTGATGCATTGTCATCTTCTGACTTCCTGGAGTGCCCAGCCCTGTCTGACTGCCTACTAGATTTCTGTTTAGCTGTTTTTAATATCCCCCTTCTAATAGTTTCCTGCCAAGCCTATTTGGCTGGAGGGCTTTAGGTCACAAAGGGCTCCTTGACCAGACACTCCACAAACTTTCAGATCGGGAAGTGTTTATGGCCGGGTGAAGTGACACATGACTACTGCCTGCTGCTTTATCTGAAGACAGCGAAGGCAACTTAGTGAGACTGTCTCAAAATACAATTTAAAAGATGTGGGGATGTATTGCAGTGGGAGAGCATCTGTGGATTCAGTCCCCACTACAGAGACAAAAACCAAAGCAAAACAACAACAATAAAAAACCAAAAGGTACTTGATGCCTCCTGATGACAACACAAGAGAAGTGGGTCCCATCTTTTGGAAACATATATCCAGGCCCTTAGGTTACTTTTATTATGTTCCTACATTGTTCTGTTTCTCGCTATCTCCCTTTCTCAGTCTCTCTTGCAATTAGTGAATTTCCTATATTTGGCTATTTTTGCATTACAGTAATCAGTAACAAAATTATAATACTGCAAAAAATTTCCCCCCCTGAAGAGGTATGCCTAACTGCTGTTAGGGGAGAAGGGATGTAACTTCCATCTAGCTGCTTGAGCTGAGAAGGGTTGGTAGATGGAGTCCACAGTCAGGGGCCTTCTCCAGAGAGCTGATCTAATGGGCCTTGGCAGTTACAGGTTTAGCAATTATGAACTTCCTTTACAAGGCTGATCTAGTGTATCCCTGTAAAAGTAGTCTGGCACATTGGTCACTGGTTCCATCTGCACGGTCACATAGAGTTTGGAAGCCTTAAAGTTGTAGGATCCTGTGAGAAAGGTTCCCTCATGTCCTGGGTTCTCACTGAATTGGGAGGACCAGGGTCAAAATATTGGCTGACTTCTTAGCCCAGTTACCTTTCTAGTTTTAATCTCCAAACACCTTCCAAATATCTTAGCGGGGCCTCCAAGATGATACAGGGAAATGCTAGGTGTCAGATACAATGAATTCATGTTCTCCAAAGTCGAAGAATGAATTCTAAGAGACAATGGGAGTTAAGAGTAAGAAAATTTATTGGGGGAAAGGAATGGAGAATAGAAATAGCTCCTGAGAGATGGGGGCGGGGGTTTGCTGGCATCTGTTTTTATCAGTCACAGCAACCTGAAGAAAATTAACCTTTGCTGCTTTCTCTGCCAGTAATATTTCTCATGAGATGCATCTATTTTGGTAGATATATATGTTGGGTTTCCATTGCCATGATAAAATACCCAGGAAAAGTCAGCTAAAAGAAGCTGTGATTTATTTTGGCTCATGGCTTCAGCGGTTTCAGTCCATTGTCAGCTGGTTCCATTGCTTTTAGTGCTTTTAGGCCTGCAGTGAGGCGTAAACACTGTTGGAGATGGATGTGGTGAAGGAAAGGGGCTCACCTCATTTTAGCCAGAAGGGAAGGATGAGAACCAGAGTAAAGATATACCTTTCAAACGCACACTCTAGTGACCTACATCTTCCAATTATGCTTCACCTCCTAACAGCCCATTCAGCTACACACTCACCAATGGATTAATGTCTTAATCCACTGATGAGGTTGGAGTCCCATGGTCCATTGACCTTCCAAAAGGAAGTAACATGGAACATGGAAGCCTTTTTGAGGGCATTTATTTTATCCAAATCATAACAGTATGTACTATTTCTTCTTCCTATGTACATGCTCATTTATTCATTCACAGTCTACTTAGCATTGGCTTTCTACCAGTCACAGATCTTGACACTGGGACCTTGTTGGAGAACAAAATAATCACGATACTCTCTGTGGGACTTTTATTCTAAGGGGAGAAACAGTAAGTAAGTCATTGGTCTTTCATTCAGATTAGATAAAACTGGCTGTCATTGTTGAGTGCTTATTGTGTGCTAGGCACATACTTTATGCACTTAAACCTCACAACAATCCTACATCATAAATCTTGCTATGATCTCTATTTTTCAACTGAGAAAAATGTAGCCCACAGGTAATGTTGCTGATTTAACAACTAAAAATACAGCATTTTCAGTTAAGTTAGAATTTCAGGTAAAAAAATAAATACATTTAAAAATTTTAAGTATAGTCTGTGCAACTTTTGGGACATACTGGTACTAAAATATGATTTTATATTCAAATTCAAATTTAAATGAGCACCTTGTACTTTACTTTACTTCTCAATCCTACTTAAGTGGCTTACCCAAAGCCACACAGCTAGGAAGTGTCATGGTGGAGATCTGCCTGTGTTGTCTGGCTTTAGTGTGCACTTCTTACCTACAAATACTGTCTTCCTAGAGCACTTCTGTTTTAGGAAGACTTAGAAAAGAATTCCCCTGACAACAGAGGGAATCTCTTTTAGATGATGTTGGTGGTCTCTCTCCTCGCTCTGGAGGCAACGTCATGGACAGTTAGTTTGTTCTTGTACATAAATTTTGCTCCTTGGTTTATAGCTTGATTTAGAACAGCAGCACATCTGGGGTGCTCAATGTCCTGGTGTGAGACCAACCTCAATTACCTGAAGGGACCAAATGGGCAATGTAGTGGGGAAATCAGGCTGGCTAAGTGTATGGTGAGGAAGGAGCCACCCCCTGGCCTATTGGTGGTCATCAGAAAAGGGATGCATACCTAATGCTGCCCAATCTTTGCATTTTCAAGCTGAAGTTGGAAATTTGGATTTTTGAAAGAATTTTCTGACTCTTCATCATTGACAGCTACTTCAAAATTTTGAAATTGGCCACACCAAACCCATTTGCAGACTCTTGGTGTGTGGACTCTGCAGGGAACTAGTGGGAGACAAGCCAAGCAGCTGGCCATGGTGCTGACCAAGCGCTCTGGTCCTTCTGTGTCATCTCATATCCAGGCAGCCATGGAAAATCATCTGCAGCAGCGACTGTACCAGCCGCAGAAGCTACTGGCAGACCTCAGAAGCACTGATGCTCAGCAGTTCCGCACTGCCATGAAATGCCTCTTAGAAGATAAGCAGGATCACTTGGTGAGTTCTCGGCCCCTCTAAGCAGAAGTCAGGGCCAGTTGGTGCTCGCTGAATTGAATCAAATTGAGCTTATCCAGTCCTTTGTCTTTTATTTCTCACTTTCTTCTTCCTTTAACCCACCAGGAACTTAAGGACCTAGGTTTCCTTCCTTCCTTTTTCCACAGTTCAAGTTAAGAGCCTTATAATTTGTATTCTTGTGGCTTCTAGGACATGAGAGGGCATAAAGATCTAATAGTATTTATTTATTTATTTTGAGAAAAGTTCTTACTACATAGCTCAGGATGGCCTTGAACTCACTTTGTAGTTCAGGATGGCCTTGAACTCAAAGCAGTCCTCTGCCTCAGTCTCCCAAATGCTGGGATTACAGGTGTGTACCACCACACTTGGCCTAATAGTTTTGCTTAATAAACATATATGAAAAATTGCAATGCCCCAGTAGATACAGAGATAAAAGACTGCCCCCACTCTCAGGGAGTTTAGTGTCTGGAGTGCAGACAAAAAGCAGAAACAGATCATTTCCACAAAATAAGCTGAGTGACATGACGTCATCACAGAGCAAGCCCTCTGAGACTCAGAGAGTTCTGGGGAGCTTAGCATTTTCTTTACTGCAGGCAGTTTACTATGAAACAGTGTTTTCCAAAAGGAAATGAACCATTTAAACATTTTGACAATTATTGATTGATTGATTACAGTGCAGGGCCTCATGCATGCCGGGCAGGCTCTCCACCATTGAGCTACATACCCATCCCATAATCATGTATGCACTTTAATGTCTGTTATTAAAATATAGGGCTGGGGATTTAGCTCAGTGGTATAAGTGCCTGCCTGGCAAGTGTGAGATTGTTTGATCCCCGGTGCCAAATATCTATATCTATATATCTGTATATCTACATTTTTATATATAAAGGATATATCAAACCAGTTTGGTAGGAATGTAATTTTTGCAGTGAATTAAGATTTTCAAAGAAGGACTCATGTTAGAAAAATATGAGGTATGTCATAGTAAAAGCAGTGAAAAAATATGGCAAAAATGGGCACATGGGCTATCAAAATGATATTGGTTAAAGTTTGTTGAATCTTTAGTGTGTGTGAGGCATTATTCTAATGAAATAATCATCAAACTTTTTTAAGGGACCGGGTAGTACATATTTAAGGGTTTGTAGTTCATACAGTCTCTGTCACACTTATCTCTGTCATTGCAGCATGAAACCTAGATCCTTGGCAATAGATGAATGGGCATGAATGTGTTCCAATAAAACTTTATTTACAAAAGCAGGCAGTGGGCTAATTTTGACCTTTGGGACAAATAGCTTGCTGATCACTGTTCCAAGGATTTAATATGTATAGACTCATTGAATCTTCTTCAGAACCCTTGGAAAGAAGATGAACAGAAATCTTAGTATTTCAGTATTGGGGAAACTAAGACATGGAGAGGCTGATGAAGTAACTCCAGGTGACACATCTTGGAAATAAATCTGAGGTTTGAAAACTGCGCTTCTGACTCTAGCTATAAGCTCTGATGGCACCTGATAAAGCTTGTGGGCTCTTTTTCCAAGTCACATTTTGTTTTTATTTTAGTTTGGGGTTTTTTGGGACAGTTTTTTGTTTGTTCATTTGTTTTTGCATAGTTCAGGTGGATTTACTCCCTGGGTAGCCCAGGCTGGCCTTGAACTCACAGCGATTTTCCTGCCGCAGCCTCTTGAGTGCAGGATTACAGGCATGTGCTGTCATGCCCAGCCAAATAAGGTTTTTTAAAATCTATTAATTAAAATATGAAAGATTACACAGTAAGCCAACTAAATTGAAAACATTGATCAAAATATTTAAAACAAGCACATTTGGGAAGAGTAATTTATGGGATTCTTTAACTCATTAAGTAAAGCAATTTAGCAGCACTTCTAATAACCTCTAGTTTTGAGAAAGTATTGAATGAACAAGATTGCAAGATTTCTGCAATAAATGTAATGCATTTTGAAAGTGACTGTGAGTTTGACTGGTGACTAAGTCAAAGATTCTGCTCCAACTGGGGTTCCTTGCTGCCTGTCTTCATCCCAGAAGGAAATGCTACATGTCAGCTCAGTGTAGGAAAAATGACTATGCAATTTCTTCCAGTCTTCACAGATGCCCTAAGTTCTAGCCACAGGTCCCTGTTTAAGGACCTCTAAGTGCAGTCTTTTGGGGAAGCACTCAGACTGCTGCAGAACTCAGGGACATCTAAGGACACCTGATAACATGAGCCCAGTTGTCTAGCTCAGGCACATGGTGGGACACAGTTATATAACCATGACTTAGCACAGGTAAACACATATGTGCTTGTTTTGGCATTATGAAAGGATGTAAATATGAGATAACAACCTGTATAAGAATTACACAGTAAGGATGCAGGCAGCTCTTGCTCTTGCACTCTTGTGTTCTGCTTCATGCTGCCCCCTGCTGTTGCTGATGTCTTGCACATGTGCATTCTTTTACTCGGGACCTCACCCTCAAAAATCTCCATTGGCCCCTAAGCAGGTGGACAAGTCTTAACTGTTTAGCCACCATTAGCTAATGATGAAATTAGAAGACACTTGGTCAGGATTAAATCATGGGGTTGAGTTCAAATACATACCTAGGATCTCAGTTGTGGGTATGTTTGAGCCTGTTGCGTATTGTTTTGTTTTTGTCACCTGTGATGCTGAGATAATGGTAGCATGGGATGTTGGTCGAGGATTACCAGGTACCAGGCAATTGACATTCATTGTCTTGTTCAAGTCTTTTACAAATCTAGGAGGTGGGTTATGCTTTTATCTCCACTGTATAGAAGAGGAAGCTGAGACCTTTTACAGTTTTCTCAAGAACACACATAGAAAATGTGAGGGCTCTGGAATTTGAACCTAGGAATGCCTGACCCTAGTACCTAAGGAGCTTATCTTAAAGGATTGTCATGAGAATTAAATGAGGTGATGCACATGATCTTTGGCTATTACTGGAGGGTGCATAGGGTGAAGAACAGAGAGATCAATCAGATTGTGACTAAACCTTGTGGCTCACATGATCCATCCTTCATTTGAACTGGCTATTTTTCATTGCCTTCTAGGTAGCAGGTACACCACCATCCACATGGTTTGGGCCTCAGGACTTCCCTGGCTCAACCTTGGATAACAATAGAATCAGATGCCTGTCTGCGCTCTCCCCCCAACCAATTGAATCAGACCTTAAGTAGTGGCATGGAGAGCAGTACTCTTTAAAACTCCCCAGGTGACTCTGATTTGCAGTAAGAATTGAGAACCATGGGTGTAGAGAAAAGGCAGGTTCACAAGCATCTTTAGGAAATCAGAGAAGAACAGAAGAGACTTCATGGAGGTGATGGTTAAGATGAGCCTTAAAGATGAACTGGATTTCAGTAGGAGAAGAGGGAGTGGTGAGAATTTCAGGTAGACTAAGGGCCTCAGGTTTGATGGTCAAGGTGCATCTAGAGAATGAGAAGTTATCTAGGGTAGATGGAGCTGGTAAAGACCTTTGTCCCAAGGTGACAGAAAGTTCTAGAAGATTTCATATCTTGGCACTTTGGGAAACTGAACCAGGAAGATCACAAATTAGAGTCCTAGCCTGGGTAACTTCAGCATTTAATGTAGGCCCCATCTTAAAATATAAGATGAAAAAAGACTGATATTTAAAAGGGCATGGTATTCAACAATGATCCTGAATTGTACCCTGCCACAGTATGTGGTCCCTCCTAGGACTTATGAATGGAAAGGAGACTCACAAAGTGACACTGGTTTCTCTTATTCCTTTAGGACCTGAAGGACATTGTCATTGACTTGAGGCAGATACAGGAACAAGCTTTGCAGAGTCCTGGTGTGAACCGCAGCCTCTTTCTCGTCACACTGGAGAGGTGTTTCCAGCTGCTGAGTTCCCTGGAGTGTGTGGAGATCCTGGGCAGGCTGCTGAGGGGGTCCTCAGGCCATTTTCTCCAGCCAGATGTCACCGAGTGGCTGCCCCAGCGCCTGCATGTGGATGCATTTAGGAACCTGTGAGTGCTTCCTCCCATCCACTTACTTCTGTGCTGTTGCTCCTCAGGGCTGCCATGACCATTCCAGGAGGTGACACCTGGAAGAGAGACCAGATAGGGCACAGGCTGGTATACACTTTCTGGAAAAGCTTACTCTTGGTTCCTCTTGTTGAATAACAGTCACCCGTACCGTATTTTCCTAATGATAATATTTATTTTACCATAACAGTATGTTGTCTCAGTAGCCGCACTGGGGGAATACAGGAAGCGATCTTTGTGTTCACCTATGTGGTGGACGGATGGCAAGGTGTATACATGTGTATCAGTGTAAGCACAGGTGAGTTTTTACCCACTTCACACTCAGTGTTACCTTTCTATGCATTTATAATTTGTTTTATTGAATGTCTTCTTTTGATTTTTCTTGTAGGGTTAGCCCAACTCCAAACAATGTCACAAAAAAATCTGCCCTTTCAACTATTGGAGGTGGTTGAAAGGAGTCATCAGGTGACTCAGCTACAGATGATGACTTGGATTATGGAAGCCAAAGAAGTTGTGACAGTGAGATGGAGCAAGATATGACAGATAGAGAAGTAGGGAATGAAGACTGATTCAGATGAGGAAGAAAACAGTAATGTAAATAAACATTTGACCAGTTGAAACGCTACAAAATGATCACGTACACCTAAATGATCCAACATTAGATGTAGGTTGGAAAATGTTATTAGGTTCCTGTCAGAGGTGAAAACTGTTGGATGGAATATCAACCCTGCAATTCAATGTTGGAAGTTGTTTGTGACAGATAATATGCTACAAGATGCTGTGAAATACACGAATAATGAAATGCAATTTAAACATTCTATACGTATGAATAGTAACACTCAAAACATATGTATCCCGACACCTCACTCTCTGAACTAAAAGCCTGTATAGCAGGACTTTATCATTTTAATCATCAGAATTAAAGGATTTATGGAGAAGTTACAGATGTGGCACTGAAATTTTTAGAACAAAGACACTCAAGAGATTTGGTGTCCTTCAAAATTGTCTATGTTTTGATGACAAAAAAAGCCCACCAAAAAAAGAAAAAATCCGACAGTTTGACTGCTATTCGCTCATTTTTGAAAGCTTTGTTTTGAACTGTTAAACAATTACACACCGTTCAGATCCATGACAGTTGGTGAACAACTTGCATCATTTCATGGTTGTTGCAGCTTTCAGCAATATATGCCAAATAAACTTTCCAAATATAGTATAAAAATATACGCCCTGGTAGGCGGAAAGACATTTCACACCTTGAATTGAGAAATTTATTTTGGAACTTCGCCATCAGGTCTTTATGTAGTAACAAACCATGTGAGGTTATGAACAGACTTCTTGCACCTATTTCAAAAAATAAGGAGAGGGGAAAAAGTACCTGAAATATCATATTTGGTTAACTCGTTACCGATTGATGTTACATTTGCTAACAGTTAACCAGCACAGGAGCTATTCTCAAGAAATCAAGAAATGCAAATTAAAACAACACTGAGATTCCACCTCACTCCAGAAACAATGGCTGCCAGCAAGAAATCAACCAATAACAAATGTTGGCAGGGCTGTGGGGAAAAAGGAACCCAAGGGCTGGGAACTTAGTTCAGTGGTGTTAAGTGCCTGCCTGGCAAGCGTGAGGTCATGAATTTGACCTTGGTACCCCCTCTCTCCAGTAAAGGAACTTATCTCCACTGTTGGTAGGGGTGTAGACTGGTACAACCACTGTGGAAATCAGTGTGGAGATTCCTCAAAAAACTAGGATTGACGGTCCCATTCAATCAAGCTGTTTCCTTTCTGGGTATTTTCCCAGAAGAATTGAAAATATCATGCCACAGTAATATATGTGCACCATATTTATTGCAGCACAGTAGCTAAATCTTGGAAGCAACTCAAATGCCCATCAACCACAGAATATATAAAAAAGATGTGGTATTTTTATACAGTGGAGTATTTCTCAGTGATAAAGAAGAATAAACTTGAGGCTTTTAATGGTAAATGTGTGGCACTTGAAACCATGCTTGTAAGTGAAGTAAATCAGACTTTCATGTATATATATAAATCGTATTGTCTCCCTAGTGTAAAAGAAACCTGAAAGAGTAAATAAGATCTAAAATCTACAATAGATACTGTGAAAATGAAAGGGAAAGTGTTAAAAGAAAACAACAACTGGGATGGGGAAAGGAGAAAAGAAAAAAGGGAAAAGATTATATGTATATATGTATACAAATATATATGTGTGTGTGTATATATATATATATGTATATATATATGACAGATACCTATACTATTAATCTGTTAGTTCACCAAAAAGAACAGTTGTGTTTTCACTGTTATTTGATCATTATTTTATGCTTAAATCTTATAATATGAACAACTGCTTTGAAGATAACAATATGTAATATATTAACTATGTTAACTTTCTATTATTTTGTTTTGAAATTCTAAATGAACAAATAAACAAACAAATAAAAAACAAAGGGGAGATTACCAGAAAAAAATGTTGCAACTTCACAATACAGAAATGTATAGTACAATCTGGATTTCAGAAAGACATAACATGGGCCTTGTAAATGGCAAAGAAAAACAGAGTAATGCTGATACTGTCAGTGTTACACAGTGATGATAAGATTGATTGTGAAGCTGGATGTGGTGCCCACTCAAGCCTATAAACCCAGAAGTCGGGAGCCTGAGGCAGGAGGATCCAGTGATTTCAAGTTCAGCCGGTGCTACATTGTGAGTTCAAGGCTAGACTGGATTACATAGTGATACCTTGTCTCCAAAAACAAAAACAAAAACAAAAACAAAACAAGTCTGGAGCAGAATTCTGTGCACAGACAAGTGAAACATCACAAGAACCTCCTAACAAAACAGCAAGACCAGCAAGATGTCAAGTATGTGCTACAAAAAAAAAAAAAAAAAAAAAAAAAAAGGACAGGAAAACAAAACACATGTGTGCTTAAGTATCAAAGTATTGCTCAGTGAGGGTGAAACCTTAGATGTGCTAATTGAAGTAAAGATTATTTTCATTGTAGACTTATTTGTATTTTTGTTGTGGTTCATATATGAATTTATTTGTTACTTTTTAGATTTGATAAACAGAGTTGATGTTGAAATTTATTCTAAACCATTAGTGTATATTGAAGTTTAGTATTTTATTTTATTGATATTTTATTGTCCTGTTAAGTACACACTGAATGATAAAACTCATAAGATTAAAACAAATAGAAATATTCTATAAATAATAAATGTGAGCGTTATGCACCCCTTAGTGCCCCTTTTCAGGAAATTTAACCTGATGTACTGGGATACAGTCTGTAGAGTTGGGAGACACTGATTAAAACAGATTCAGCCAGGCAACACCCTCACAGCTTTTGCCATCTGTCCTCCGTTTAGACCATGATTTATTTCTTGTTTTTTTGTTTTATCAACTCACCTTTTTTACTTAAAAATATTTATTTTAAAAGTAAATTTGAACTGAGTGAGGTGGTGCACAGTTGTAATCGTAGCATTCTGGAAGGCCGAGGCAGCAGGACTGATCTCGAGCTTGGGCAATCTAGAAACTTAGTGAGACCTTATCTTAGAATAAAAAATAAGGTGGTTGGGGACATAATCAGTGTGATGGGTGAATTGCCAGTAACACACACACGCATTTACACATGCACAGTCACGCATGTAAGTGTAATATTATCATAAATGAGAAATCAGTATCTATTATTTTAAGCAAAAGTGGTAATAGGTTTTTTACTTTGTTTTTTTTTTGTTTTGGAACTGGAAAAAGTAATCATAAAATACATATAGGAAACAAAGTGTCTCTAAATTCTAGATAGATTGGATGCTTACTTACGTATCTTAATCAGTTTGAGTTGCTATCATAAAAATACCATAGTCTTGGTGGCTTAAACAGCAAAACATCTATTTCTCTCAGTTCTGGAGGCTGAGATGTGCAGGAACAAGGTGTGGTAGGTGTGGTGTCACATGAGTACCTGCTTTCTGTTCACAGAAGGCATTTCCTTGCTTTCTTCATGTGGTAGAAGGGGTAAAGAATGCTCTGGACTAGTCTCTCTGGAGTACAGGGGCATTAGTCTCACGAGATTTGACCTAATCTGACCTAAATCTAGGTCTCCTGAACCCTGGTTTGGTGTCTTTCCCACTCTCCCCTGCCATCTCTCTTCTTCTTATAAAGGTGATGCCATTAAGTCCATATTCATTTTTCAGACAAGAAAGCAGGCACAGAGACTAAATAACTCGTGTTAGGTGACACTAATAGGAAATAAAGAGCCAGCATTTTTGCAATTGGGAAGCTTTTTCTTTAATGATGCTAACTTTTTTTTAGATGTACATCTTTCCCCAGTGCTCTTTAAAAAGAATAAAAAAGGGTTGATAAGTGCTGTGACATGCATGAACCTTGAAAACATGCCAAGTGAGAGTGGTGATCTATGCATATATCCCTGTATTTGGGAGGCTGAGGCAGAAAGATGAATTTGGGGCCAGCTTGAGTACATGCACTGTGAATTCAAGGCCAGCCTGGGCTTAATAGCGAAACCTTACCTTAAAGCAAAAACAAAACAAGAACAAAAACTCTAAAAGAAAGAAAACATCATGCCAAGTGCAAGAAGCCAGACACATAATATATTTGTTAATCCTTTTATAGGAAGTATTCAAAATTGGCAAGTCTGTAATAAGAAGTACATTACTGGTTTCTGAGATTTGGGAAGACTGAGGGTGGAGGGTGTGAAAGCCGAAGATACGACATTTCTTTTCGAAGTGCTTAAAGCAGTCTAAACTAGTTAAGGATGATGATTATATAACTTTGAGAAAAAACTGGAAACCACTGAATTGTACACTGTAAGTGGGTAAATTATGGGGTATGTAAATTATATGTCAATGAAGTTGTTTTGTTACAAAAACAAAAAAGGACCAAGAGGTGAGGAAAGGGAGTTTGTATAGACTACTCTTTGCTTAGCTGTGAAGGGGAAGAAGAGAAGCGAGAAAAATAGCTATGGCTAGCAGAGGAGGAGGGAGGGTCTCAGCACAGGATGATTTTTGCCCATTTATCTCTCTGACTCCCCTTTAGAGCAACCCCCACCTGTGGGTTATTAATGGATGCTTCTGTTTGCATTTTCAGATCTGCAGTATTCAAAGATCTCTATGATCAAACCTCAGCTCACGCTCAGAGAGCTGTCTACTCCTGGATGACGGGGATCTTGCGTACATCCTCCAATGCCACTGGTGAGCCTGTGTTGGGGGCACATTTGGGGGAAATGCACACTCAGAATCGATGCATGATCTCTGAAGCAGGGCTTTGATTTCGTCTCTCTTGTAAGTTTTACAGCTGTCCTCCCCAATTCAAGAGAGTTTGATGTGGCTTCTGAATGAAACCCCATTTCACATGCACATGCTTCCTATATTGAAATGTCTGATATTAGGATGTATCTCTATCTTACAGTTAATGATGTGTCCTACTTTTTTAGTGACATCTTAGATTTGGTTAAGAACTGTTGGAATAGGGTCAAAATAAGTATAAAATATATAAAATATAAAAGGTATAAAATATCTACAAAAGGTATAAAACTATCTATATAAAAAGTCTAAAAATATCTGTATTAAACAGAGATGAGATACTTGTTTAGAAAATCTAGACAATAATGCACAGACACTGGGCTCTGAACTTGATGGCAACCAAATTGAAAATAGGTCAGGATTTATTTATTTGACAAATATGTATTAAAAGTCTATGTCTTAGTGTAGTGAAGTTCATAAAAAGAGAACTTGGAATGGTGGTAGAGTTTCAATTTTGTTAAGATGCAGGAAATTCTGGGTATGGATGGAGTGGTGTTCGACAGAGGGGATACACAGTCAACTCTCTGCTTGTGAATTTCACACCTGTGGATTCGACCAACTATGAATGAAAATACTTGAAAAAATTCCATCTGTACTGAATGTGTACAGGTATTTTTTGTCATTATTCCCTAAACATTGCAGCAGAACAACTATTTAAAACATTTTTATTGTGTTCAGTATTATGACCAATTTAGAGATGATTTGGAGGATAGAGGAAAGGTGTGTGGGTTACCTGCAAACACTATACCGTTTAAACAAGTCACTAGAGGAGCTGAGGATTTTGGTGTCTGCAGGAGTCCTGGAACCACACCCCAGTGGATCTGAGGAAGGACTCTATTGAATGCCACCAAAGTGAACAAATTGTATCGAAACACTGAACTTTATGTTATGTATATTTTATCACAGTTAGAAAAACATGGAAAAATATGAATATGTAGATTAGCAATGCAATTTCTTGGATCCTTTCCACTTGTTAAAGGTTTAATGTCAGTCATGTAAATAGATTAAACTTTTAAACACTTAAAAGTGCCCTACTGTGTGTCAGCTGCTGAGATACAGAAGAAAATAAAATATCTGCTGTCGTGCACCTATTGTTTTATTGGGAAGGGTAGATGGAGAAAATTTTTAAATAAGGAGAGAGAGAGGATGAGCAGAGAGAACTAGATGTGAGAAGCTGCTACGAACAGGATTGTCTAAGTGGCTTCCTCAGCACTGAGACATAACACTGACACTCATAACTGAGAGGAGGAGAGGTTTGCTTTGGCTCATGTTTCAGTCCATGGTCAGCGGGTTTCTGGGAGCCAGAGTGACATGCTGGGGGAAGGCTGTGCATGTGATGTGTGTGATGTTGGTCAGGAAGCAGAGTGAGAAGGGAGGGACTAAAAAGGGAGGGAGATACATCCTTTCAGCTCCTGCCCACAGTGACTCAGCTCTGCTGACAAGATGTCACCTCAGAACAGCAAGTCAGTTATAGCGCCCCCATAATCCAGCCACCTCCCAAACTCCTGAGACCTTGGGGGCCATTTTATATCCAAACTATAACAAGAATAAAAGAGATGGCTGCTGCAAGAAGGGTTACTGTTTGAAAGTAGTGCTTGGCAAATACTTTCTGTAAAGGGTATTTAAAAGTTAAATAAATATTTATAGGGTTTGATGTTGCATTTTGAAAGCAGCTGTGGGCGATAGACAACAGGCAGGGCTGTGTTCCAATAAAATGTTTCAATGAAATTTGAAATGAACATAATTTTCATATATAATGTAACATTAGTATTCTTTTGATTTTTCCCCCAACCATTAAAATAATAGGAAAACCCTTTGGCCTATTAGTCTGGTTTTCAATCTATATATATATGATGATTAGCTTGATAAAATCTTAGAAGGTAAATAGGGGCCTGGGATTTAGCTAAGTGACGTAAGTGCCTGCCTGGCAAGCACAGGTTGTAAGTTTGATCCCCAGTCCAAAAAAAAGAGGGTAAATCAATGAATCTGATACTGGGAAAATAAAAAGTGAGTAAAAATTGAGCAGAGGGAAGGGGAAGAGGGAGTTGAAATGTGTTCTGTGCATGTACCAATTCCTTACAGTGAATGTAATCATCTTGTATTGGAAACATACTATAATAAAAATAAAATCCTTACCAACCATAACAAACAAAAAGCCCCATTCTTGTTTTCTAGCCTGTAGAAAAACAGATCATGGACTGTGTTTGGCTCTTGGCTAAAGTTGGCCAACACTGGATTAAGGAATCTCAAGTAGGTGACATTTGAATTAAGACCAAGATGAGATGGAATCAGTCATGTGAAGTTCTAGGGGAAGGACATTCTTGGTTGAGGGGCCAAGAAATACAAAGGCTCTGGGATGGAATGAGCTTAGTGTGTTGAAGAAGCATAAAGGAAGTCAGTAAGGTTCCAGCAAAAGGAATGTCAATTAATACTCTTGCCTGGAATTAAACTTTGAGATTTGTAAACAACATAATAACAAATGTCTTAAGTACGTAGTGAAAATCCCTCTGCCTATAACTGTGGCTGCCAGGAATCTGACTTTCATACTGAGAAACCCTGATAAAGTCACTCAACCTCTACACTTCCCTAAATCTTTATTACACTTCCCTAAGTCTTCCCATGATTTAATTAGGCAAACTTTTTTCTTCTAGAACTCTGCTATGGTAACTTTCATTATTAAACTCAGTGAATTAAAATTCATTCTATTTGAACTTTAAATTGTTTTTTTCTATGATGGTCCTTGAGGTAGTTTGAAATACTTTGGCTACTAAAGATGTCCCAAGCTTGGATACTGTTGGTCTTCAGAAATAGAGTTCATGCTTGATAATTAGTAGAAATATGAACAACTCAGCATGGTTCTTGGGGAATTTTGTAGTTCCTCTTCCCCATTAAATATCCAGAGTCTCATGTGCCCTGCACACATCTGATTCCTGGCTGGGGAGGCACCCAGAGGTTGTTGTGAATCAGCCCATGTGAAGCCAACTTCGCCAGCTCACTGGAGCATCAGACACTGCCCACACCTCCTGAAACATCTCTTGTAAAACAGGTGACTGTTTTACATGCTCTTTTCTCTTCTCCTTTTCTTTTTCCTTTCCTTTCCTTTCCTTTCCTTTCCTTTCCTTTCCTTTCCTTCCCTTCCCTTCCCTTCCTTTCCATTCCCTTCCCTTCTCCTCCTTTCTCTCTCCTTTTCTCCTCTTCCTTTCCCTCCTCTTTCCTTCTTCCTCTCCCTTTTATTCCTCCTCTTTCTCTTTCTCCTCCACCTCTTCTTCTCCCCAACCCCAGGAGAGGGAATTGAACCCAGAGCCTTCACATTAAACTACATTGCCAGGCATTTTGTTTTTTGTTTTGAGACATGTTTGGCTAGATCACTATGTTGCTTCCACTGACCTCTAACTTGCCCTCTCCCTGCCTCGCCTCCTAGAGGCATGTGCCCACCAGAATCTCCCTTTTTCTTTGCCCCAAATGCCATCCAACTCATTTGCAGTTGGGTCTTAGACAAGATTGTTCTTAAAGCCCCACTGATATGTCATAACGGGGAACTTGAAATGCCAGAACAGAATGACAGAGAGGGTCCTCTGGGAATTCTGAGGAGGGAGAGATTATTTCTAGCTAGAAGGCCTTAAGGAAGAGAAAAAGTTTCAGTTTAGTCTTGAAGATAGGACTTGGACACAGGTTAAGGAGTGGCATTTGAGGTGGCCAAGAAGGCCCAAGTGAGCAGAGATTTGGAGAACATTTGTGGTGCATGTGGGAAAGTAAGAATGGTTTGGTTTGGTTCAAGTATAGTAACATGGTGATGAGTATGGTAATCCACTAATGCTTATTACTCAGTGGATTGTAAAGGAGATAGTAATAAAAGCCAAACATATTTCACATTGCCAGATTATTTAATAACTAATTGAACTAATAATAAATGACTACTTTAAAATTTTAACTGTTAAAAAATAATCTGTATATGAAGTTCCAGATAATGCTGATGCTGTTAGTCTGGGGACCATACCATTGGGTAGCAAAGTCTCAGGTCACGAGCATCTATGATTATTGCCTGTGTGTAACATAATATTTCACAGATAGGCACTCAATAAATTGCTGTTAAAAACTTAATGTAAGAATGGACTGACACCAAAGATGCTGCTGGTCATTACAAAGCAGTCTAAAAGCTTTTTATTTAGTCATTCACATGTGTTTTTTTTTTTTTTTGTAGATGACTCTATTTCATGGGTCAGTGCAGAAAACTTATGGATTTTGGGCAGATATATGGTTCACCTATCACTTGAAGAAATTATGAAAATTAGTACTCTAGAAGTAAGTTGCAAAAATATTTTGTACATCCCATTACTAACACAGTCAGGGTAAAATATATTCTGGTGGTTTTTTTTTTTTTTTTTGAGACAGGAACTCATGGTGATTCTTCTGCTTTAGTCTCTCAAGTGCTAGTTATAGGTGTATGCCACCATAGCTTGGCAAGCTGTATTCTAAAATTTCAGCATTTAGGCAGCTGGGAAGCTGGTCGATCAATAAGCAGCAAAGTAAAGAGCCTCTCTGAGAGAAACAGCTCAGATTCTGGAATAAAATATCCTACAGAAGACCAGATGGAAGAAGATGGATCCTCTTGACCCAGGAAGAAACTAAAGGGGAAAGAAAGAAAGAAAGAAAGAAAGAAAGAAAGAAAGAAAGAAAAAAGAAAAATGTGGATGGAAGGCTGAAGCCAGATGCGCTCTTGCTGGAGGAGGTCCCATTATGTACAAAATGCTGCTGGAATCCAAAGATGCATGGTCACAGTGAAGTTGGGGATTGATGAGCCCGGCAGGAAGATGTGGTTGCAGAGGGGAGCATGGAGCGAAGAACAGCTCCAGCTCAGAGATCTGCATTGGCTTGCGGTGAATGCGAGGAACTCAGTCCTTCTGTGGGAGTGGGCGATTGACCAGGTGACATTTTGGAGTCGGGCGGGATAAGCCTGGAACCAGAATTGCAGCAGCTTCAGTCAGCCACTCCTAGCACAGAGCAGATTGGTGAGAATTGTTTGGATTGAGTCCCACCCTTGTGCACAATCCAATAGCCAAGGACGAGGTCTCCCTAAAGCTATCCCTAACTGGCACCCTCTGGGCAGCACACACTAACATGGTGAAGACTCCCAGTGGTTGACCAGCTGAGAAGGGAGGGGCCAGCCTGCTCCACCCCACTTGTACTTCAATGGTCATCAGCAGACTGTGGAGGGCAGCAATCCCTAGCCAGCATGCTTCAGAGTAATCATAGCCAATACAGGAAGTGCCAGGGACCCTCAATATCCACTTATCTGGAAGAAACCAGGAACATGACAAGAGGAAGAAGCAAAAGGAAGTCTCCAGCCCCCAACCAAACAGTACTGGCCCAGGAGAGTAAACACAGAAGAGATCAGGGGTTGCACACTCTGGTTTCTCAAAAAGTAGCATCTGACACAAAAAATTATCTTTGTGACATTATATAAGAACTCAAAACAGAAATACTAATACAAGTAAAGGATGATATAAGAAAAAATAATAAAAGAAATGCTAAGTACCTCTCAGGAAGACACAGATGGAAGAATGGAGGGGCATAGAAAAAGGAGAGAAACTTTCAATGAAGAATATAAAAAAAAATCTAGAAAACATGAGACAGATTCAAAGAGACTACCAGGAAATTAAAAACTCCACTTAAAGCTGGCAAATCTGCTTGAGAGAAACTAAAGATAGACTATCAAACCTTAAAGACAGGTTTGCAACATGTGATCATGAAAGGAAAGATCTCTTAAAAATAACAAAGAACCAGGAAGTAACAATACAAAGGCTAGAAGATGACAAGAGGATCGATAACTTAAGAATAAAAAATGTGAGTGAAGAAGCAGGAGTAAACACAAATGAAATACAAAGGCTATTCACAGAAATAATTAAGGAAAACTTCCCAAGCATAGGAAAAGGAAATGATATTCAGATATATGAGGCATACAGAACTCCAGCCAGCTATAACCAAAATAGATCTACACCCAGACATATAATAATCAAGATCCCAGAAATTCAGCACAAGAACAGAATATTAAAAGCTGTCAGAGAAAAGAAACATAACCTAGAAAGGAAAACTCATCAGAATCACGACAGACTTCTTGACTCAAACCATCCATTCAAGATGAGCTTGGAGTGAAGTATTCCAAGCCCTGAAAGAAAATAACCTCCAACCCAGATTGATGTGCCTGAAAAAACTCTCTCAAAATTAATGGAGAAACAAGATGCTTTCATGACAAAAAGGAACTGGGGGAGTTCATGACCACCAAGTTAACCCTACAAAAAGTCCTGAAAGACATTCGAGAGAGAGAGGAAAAAAGACCGTGGTTTCAAGAACAGCGACAGAGGGGACTCACTGAACAGGGAAGACAGTGGAGTGAAGGGGAAAAGGAGACAACTAACAGCAGAAAAATAGCATGGCAGAGATGAGGCAGAGATGGCCTCGATACGGTAATGAAAAGAAACACAGGCAGAGTAGATCAGGAGAAAGGATCTATCAAGATACTCTAGATAAGAAATATATTTAACCTGAAAGAGGGCTTATGGACTGAAAATGAAAGATGAGAAAATAATGCTCTATGTGACAGGGAATCAGAAAAAAGTGGGGGTATCTTGCCTATCAGCTGCAGATTCGTTGGAAAGACGTAACACTTTTATTCAATGGAGAACTACTCAGCTATAAGGAAGGAAAACCTTGAGGCTCTTGTAGGTAAATGGATTCAACTGGAGACCAAGCTCAGGGTTAAAAAGGTTCAGAACCACTAAGTAAAAAGCTTGTTTGCCTCTTTAATCTAAAAACTAAAGGAGTTAGTGGGATACAAAATGTACCCTGTGAAAACGAAAGGGGAGGAATTGTCTAAATAGGGAAGACAGAGAACACTGTTAATTTTTTATCATGATTTGAAACCCATATTGCTTTCATCACTCTGTTTAGTTTGGTTATATTCTGTTCCAGTTTGTCTACTTGTACTAGATTTGATGGCACAGACAGCTATTCCAAAGATAGCTGGATATAGTATGGTAACAATTTTTAATTTCCTGTTAACTTAATCTGAAACCCTGTATTGCTTTTACTGTCTTGTTTTGACTGATTTTATTTTGATCTGTTTTGTTTGATAGTATTAAGTCTGAGAGTATAGGCAATTACTCTGAAGACAATAAGATTCACTATGATACCCACTCTGGTTTGACTGTTTCCTTTTTTTGAAGTCCTGTAGTGCCTCCAATGTTTTGTTTTTATTGATTTTGTTCTATACTGCTATGTTTAATTTTATTGTACCTGATGATGAGGGCAATTCTATTGACAAATACAAGAGACATTATGGTGACCATTGTAGATCACCTTGTATTGTGGTTTTAAATTATGTACTGTGTCCATCCTTTTGTTTTGAATCACCCAATTTTTTTCCTCATTTGGTTTTATTCTTTTCAAAATAAAAATAAAAAAATAAAATATCAGCATTTAGTCAGCTAGTCAAAATTCCCTGGAAACTGTACCAGTGACTTAGCTTAACATACCTTTACCTTCTAAAGAAAATTCTTGTTAAAAAGCCTCAAGCATGCAGTAAGAGAACTGTGTTCTAGCCTAGGATAGCTAAGAACAGAAGAATTATGGACAACTAGGAGTCTGGTACAGACAACCATGATATAAAGGGAATGCTGACTGTGAGCTGAAAGAATCATTTGAGGGTATTTTTATACTCAAGAAAGGCCAAGGACAATAGCTATGGGGTTTACCGTGCTTGGAAGCACGAACTCAAAACAAAAACCATTGGTATTAATACATTTGTGATGAAGATTGTATTTTTGCAATTTCACGTATGTTACCTAGAAAAATTCAAGAAACAAAATTTTAAGAGAAAAAATTTCATTATGTTCCACTGTGATGGGCATTCCTAAAAGTAACACTAGGCATTGAAGGGTTAATAACTACTTCTATTTGTAGTGACTTCTGGTAATAGCTACTTCAGCAGGAGCAATGGTTGGATTTTGACCCTAGAGTTTACAGTGGAGGAGGAATGTACGTGTCTAAAGTTGACTTCCCAACCAACTGTCTCTCTCTTTCTAAAGTTAACTCAGTGATAACAAAAAACTCCGGGGCACCGAGAAGTTGAAACACCCTTAAAGAATGCTGCCAATACAGAGGTCTTTTCTTTTCTTTTATAAACATATGTGCCATGACTTTTCTTTGGCCAGTGAGAGAAGAATTTGTATCAGATGACTGACTGTTGGAAGACCAGCTGACTCAACAATATCTGGTTATGAAATGAGAAGCACAACTAAATTATTCTCCTTTTTTTAGGAGAGTGGGAGTACTTTAAACATCTTTCAACTTTTAAAACCCTGCGTCCTAACATTAACACTTTTTTCCCTTCCATTTACTCTCCTATCGTTAAGTGATTTTTCAGGAAGTAGATAGTTTGTATTCTTAGAAATCTGAGCTCTTGGAGGAACTCCTAAGATCAAGCATGATTTACAACTTATCATAATCTGAAAATTCAGAAAAGAGTGGGAAAGCCATAGAGCACAAACAGTAAGAAGCAATTTTATGTAGATGAAGAATATGATGCACAACAGAGAGATAACTTCATGAGTTCTTTTAAAAGAGTATATCACAATATACAGCATAAAATCTGTTAGAAATGCAAAGAAAAATTGATGCATCTCAGAGTAGTAGAAGCAATCAATGTGATATCCTTGGACACATAAGAAACAGGAATAAGGGTATAGAGAATCTCAATAGTACATTTAATATCATTGAATATATATGCACTGAATTGTGTATCTTACAAAGAGAATACTTTGTTTCCATCACCATGGAGTTATTTATAAACTTGCTTATCTTCTAAAAAAGTTCTAATTCCTCAAAGAATTAATTCCCTAATTCCTCAAATTTGTGCACTATATTCTCTGACCTCAGTACAACAAATCTAGAAATATAGGTACAAAGATTAGCTTAAAAAGTTTAAACATTAAATATTAAAAATACTTTTAAAAATCACAGCAGGGTAAGAGAGGAAACCAAAGAGAAATTGCAGACCATTAAGAAGTCAATGACAGATATCAGTGGAAAACTGGGTAGTATCACTAAGGGTTTGGGAGAGGACACAGCACAAATCACCAGGATGGGTCCAAAATAGGCTACTTCCGTCCAACTCACTGCTCTTCCCATCTTTGTTCAGATTGGGCTGTTTATCAGCTATGACAATGCCACCAAGCAGTTGGATACAGTCTATGACATCACTCCTGAACTGGCCCATGCATTCCTGGAGAAGATTAGCTTGTCCAGCTTCGACGTGAGGAATATCTCGACCATCCACAGGCAAGAGAGTGAGCCCTGGGCCCTCTGGAATGTCTTCCAAGATGCAGTCCTGACTTGGGAAAGGAAGGGAGGTGGTTGATCCCTCTCTTAATAGTAATGAAGTGGGGCGGGGTGGGGAACGACAACATTTCTGGAGCACCTTCTGTGGGCCAGTCATTTTGTGTCACCTTCTCAAGTGCTACTTTTAGCTCTAAGCATGGAAATGGGCATTTTCAGTACCCAGAACTTGGTCTACTCCAAGGTGAATGTACTATTTACATTAGATTGTATCAAGCCTTGGACATAGCTGATGGATCTCCATTTTCAAGAACTTTCTGTTACTAAACTTTCATCTGGGGAGCCTCTGCATGAAATCAGCTATAGAATTTACTGATAGTATAATGATTCCCCAGAATCATTTCCAGGGAGTTGGGCCAGGAGCAGGCCACTGGAAGGGGTGGGACCACGGGAGCACAGGCAGTGAGGAAAGGGTGGTGAGCAAGCATCTCCTCTCTGTCCCCCGGGGTCTCAATGTCACACTGCTCCCTCCAGCATCCCATATTACCTTAAAAGTTTTCAAGTGAGTTACTTTCAGTGTGTGTATTCATAAAGCTGTTTCACCTTCCCTCATCTCTAGTTATTTCCATCCACTATAAATGAGTTCCACTTTTCTATGGTCACACACACACACACACAAACACACGCAAATAGACTCATGTACATTATTTGACCAATATTTCCTTTCTTTTTTCTTTTTTGCACCGGGGATTGAACTCATCGAACTTTCGGGTAGACACTGAAACCCCTGGCCCTGACCAACATTTCTTAACCCTTTCCCCATCGCAGACCATTCATTCTGCTGCTTCTATGCCATTAAGTTTATTAGACTCTGTATGTAAGTGACATTATGTAGTACTTGTCTTTCTGTGTCTGGCTTATTTCATTTAACATAATTTCCTCTGGGTTCATCCGTAGTGCTGACAATGACAGGCTTCCCTTCTTTTTAAAGGGGGAGTGGTCTTCCCTCAGGGAGCTAAACCACTTTTTAAATCCATCCATCCACTGATAGATATTTAGGTTGATTGCATACACTTGACTCGTGAATAATTATTCGTAATGTGGTCACTGATCACCCTTCACTCCCTGGTCCTGGTTTCTCTCTTGCATACACATCCAGACACATCAGTATCTTTCTAAGATGTTGGGGTCAGGTTGACTGTGGTCAGCGGGGCTGTCTGGCCATGCTAAGCTCAGTAGTTTTCATATTAACTCTAAGAACATTCACTCATGAAGGGGCACTGATGCCCACTGTGAAGCTCACTTACCGTTTGGTATGCTGCTTCTTATTTAACTTTCACGGTTGTCTCCTTCCTTCACTCATATTTATCACGGTGTGCCATGGTGAACAAAGCAAGTCTCCTTTTATTCAGTGTTCAGAGAGGTGGGGCCACCCTGTACGGTAGGACAGAGTGTGTGCTGAGTGCCTGTATGTAGCGCCCTTGCAGAGAAGTTGTTACTTACTGGAGAGCAGATATCTCATAGAACTGTGTTTTCGACTCGAGTTGGCCTGAACCTACATTCTTAACCACTGGGTGCACTGCTCCCAGCTAGGGTTTGAATCCCTCTGTCCTTACATTATTCGGCCTGTCCATATTTCTTTTTTTTTCCTTCTTAAATCTTTGCAACCTGGCAATCTCTCCTTCAAGGTAGATGAATCCTGTATCTCCATGTGAAAAATGAGGAGTTCTCTGTGGCCAGTTCAGCACCATCTTTTACTTACGACTTTTCCCCACCCTGAGGTGAGAGATGGGTTAGTTGTACGGATCTAGATAAAAATCACAGCTCTACTATTAGCCTTAGGCAAGTCATGCCATCCCTCTGAGTCTCAGTTTGCCCTTCTGTGAAATGGGACTGAGGAGAGCTCCTACCTCACAGGGTGTTGTCCTGAGATAGTGCATGTTAAAGGACACAGAACCACACCTGGTGTGTGGCAGCCGCCATGCTCTTGACCCTCTGGATGGGGACTAGGGGTGGGTATGGTTGCAGCCCCAGATGTGAGCCTTCCACCAGCATCTTGTTCTTCCACACAGGCTGGGACTGCTGGTTTGTTTCTACGATGACCTGGAGCTGCTGGATGCCACACTTGCCCAAGTTCTCCTCCATCAGATGATCAAATGCAGCCGCCTGCAGGGCTTCCAGGCCAGGGTTCAGAAGGTGCGGATGGGGTCTGTAGTTCCAGAACTTGGAGATGTTGAGGCAAGACAATCATAAATTTGGGCCCAGCTCAGGCAACTTAGCAAAATCCATTTGAAAATAAAAAATAAAGGGCTGGGATATAGCTCTGTGTGAAGGTCCTGAGTTCAGTCATCAGTACTGAGAAAACAACATGCGTACAGATTGATGTCTTTTGGGTCCTGGCCTCAGTTTTACCAGCCAGAGAAATGGGGAGCACACACTTGCCTGGCCTTGAGAGAAAACATCTAACATTAATTAGGATCTAAGTTCAGCCATAGTAGATGAGATCTGAAATCTTTGGGTGAGCATAACATCAAAAAGGAAGGATGACAAAAAAAAAACAATAGGAACAAATCTTAGGAAGATGAAAATTAAATCAGCTGTGTGCAAATGAGACATATTTAAGGACTGCCTGGGGTCTTTGAATTGAATTGAATTGAACTGATTTTGTGGTAACAGGTTTGAACCCAGGGCCTGCACACTGACTTATATCTCCAGTTCTTTTTGTTTTTTATTTTGAGGCAGGGTCTCTCTAACTGCTAAGTTGCCCAAGCAAGCTCAAACTCACCATCTTCTTGCCTCAGCTGGAAATACAGGTTTGCACACCTTGCCTGGCCACTTGGGCTCTTAACTGTAGATCCGGACTCAAGAGGCCTGGAGCGGGCTGTATGTTCCTCTTCTATCCGGCTTCCAGAGGATGCTGAGCTGCTGGAACAGTGCAGACTGAGCATCGATTCCAGACTTAGCTCCAGATGAGTAACAGCCTCTCTACAGCCTAGGGTGAGGCCTGAGTATGTGTGGTGTAAAGCACCTCAGGCGACGCCATTGCAGCTGGGGTAGAGAGTCTGGATTGGTGGTTTTTTTTTTATTTTTGTCTTTTTCATTTTTATCGGTACCGGGGATCGAACTCACGACCGCCAGCTTGCAAGGCAGGCGCTTATGCCGCTGAGCTAAACCCCCAGCCCCCCCCCCCCTTTTTTTGTACAAGAGATCGAACTCACAACTTTGAGCTTTCCAGATAGGTACTTTGGCCACTGAGCTAAATCCCTGGCCCAGGTGGGTTTTTTTTTTCTCTTTTTAACTTTTCTCTAAAGTTAGTTTTTGCTCATATTGCATATACTTCTGCAAAATTTGCTTTATCCACACCTGAGTTATTTGGTTAAATTCATACCAATCTTATCAGTCCATTCTTTAAAATTCCTGGACTGAATTTCTGGTTGTGACTCTACCGCTGGAATTTGAATTGTTTTCAACATTTCATGTACGAAATCTCCAGCCCTCCAGTGTCTGTATCAGTGATCATTTAAAAATTTCCCTGCCTTAAGTAGACAATGAGGACTCACTTCTCCTCATGTTCTCAGTATTTGATATTATACTCTGAATTAGCATCTCTCACTTACACCAAGTTTTGAAAAATTAGCAAATTCAGGTTCTCTCATTCTCTCTCTCCTCCATCTCTCTTTTTTCTTCCTTTGAAATGTTTTCTGTGGTGCTCCCCTTCATTTGTTGGGAGAGCCACATTGGGAATTGAACCCAGGGTTTTTGTGCTGAGCTACACCCCTAGCTTTTTAAATTTTAATTGGAGTCAGAGTCTGGCTAAGTTGCCCGGGCTGGCTCAAACATGTGATCCTCCTGCCTCAGTCTCCCAGAATGCTGGGGTTACAGACGTGCACTCCATACCCAGGCTCAATATTTTTTTCAACTGAAAAGATGTTATGAAAGTAATATTAAAGAAAAGTTTGATAAAGCCATCAGTAATTCTACTGCAGTTTTTCCACGTATAATCCTAAAATTCCCAAGCACATTTGACAATTTACATCGTGGTCATCTATCTTGGTCTTTATATGTGTGTCTTTGTTTTCAAGGAAAAGAATTTTGCCTCAAATTCAAGCCAAAAATAAGAAAACAAATACATTTTATGGCCACAAGGTGAGGTGAGAGGTGGCAGCTTTGACTGAGAAGAAAGGAGAATGCAGCTAGAGTTGGGGAGCCGGGCTAGTTGGCATCGTCCAGCCCAATAGGTGCACTGGGGTCATTGCGCAGGATTATTAAAAATATGGATTTCTGAGTTGAGTCTGTTTCAGCAAACCTGGGGTGGGATTTGAGAATCTGAATTTCTAACAAGTTCCCAGTGATGCTGCTGCAGCTGGTCGAGGGCCACTCTTTGAGAACCACCGCCCTGGTCCGCTCTTCCTTTTACGGAGGAGGGACCAGCTCCAGGGCAGCTGATCCGCTAGAGTGCCGAAGCCCGGCACCACCACCGTGGTTTCTTCTACTTCACTCTGCTGCCCCCCGGTGGCTGTTTCCATATTGCACAGAACAGTCGGGTGCACCTCTCTGGAATGAATACATTGTTTATACCGGTTTAGGTGTTACATGCACTGTCCCCACTGTTTTCGTATCAAGGCTATGCTGGAGTTCATTGCTTTCCTTATCAGGAGCAGTTGGGAAACACACTTGGCTATAACTGTGCAGACATATTGCAACAAAATAATTAAAATGATCGTAGTTGTATCAGACACAATTTTAAGAATACAGACCAGATAATTGTACTTTTGTTTATATTGCAACCATGTAAAACTGACTTAGAAGGGGATACACCTAATTGCTAACTGTAGTTTTCTCTCCCCTTCTCCCCCCCACCTCTCCTTTTTCCTCTAATCCCCTTCTCTCCTCTCCTCTCCTCTCTATTCCCTCCCTCCTTTCCTTCCTCTCCTCTTTCTGGGTTGGGGATCAAGCCTAGACCCTTTTTTTATTTTAGACAAGTGCTGTACCACTTAGCCACACCCTGGCCCCTTAGTTATTTTTATGAGCTAGGGTTTTCAGAACATTTTAACTTTCTTGTATGGGTGAGAATTATTTTTTCACAGATTACAAATTATCATGAAAAAGCCTTCAGACATTTCATACAAGAAAAATGGTTATATTTATGGATATAGAGTTCAAGGTCACAAAAGGAAAATATATGCTACAAGAATTCGGTGGAGTTATAAGGGAGCAAAATTCTCTCCTGCCATGCTTTAAGGTTGATTTAATAACACATGAATATTTAAATGAAACTCAAACTGAATTTGCAGCGCATTAAAGCCAGCGTGAGAGATGTTTGGGCATGGCAGGAGCTCCATCCTCTCTCTAGGGGCTTTGATGGGGCAGGGTTGGGGGGTGATCCTCCACCCAGAAAGCAAGTGAGGGAACCACTGCCCTGTTTTCTACTAATGCTCATTCCAGTTTGCTCTCCCCTAGCTCAAAGCTGACCTCCTGGACATTGCCACAGAGAACCGGACCCTTAATGAAACCCTGGGCTCTTTGTCAGACGCGGTTGTGGGTTTGCCCTCAAGTCAGCTGGAATCTCTGTCCCCTGAGGCTGTGCAGGCTGCCATCTCTACTCTCAACCAGGTCTCGGGTTGGGCCAAAAGCCAGGTCATCATCTTGTCTGCCAAGTACTTAGCCCATGAAAAGGTCAGTTGGAACTTTGAATTTTTCTAGAATACTCCAAGACTCGAGGGTCAGTGTATTTGTCAGCCCAGGCTACAAAATAACAGAGACTTGAGTGGCTAGAACAACAGAAAATTAGTTCTTACAGTTCTAGAGGCTGGGAAGTCCAGGGTCAAGGTGCTGACAAAATAAGTGTCATTCTGAGGCCTCATTCTTGGCTTGGGGGAGGCCACCATCTTGCCAGTGTACTCACATGACCTTCATGAGGCCAAGTGATCTGGCGTCTCTTCTTATAAGGGCACTGATTCCATGGGCCAGGGCCCCACCCAACTCTAATTACCTCATAACCCATCTAACCTAGTTACTTCCAAAGGTCCAACCACCAAGTACCATCACACAGTGATTAGGGTTTCAACATATGAGTTTTGGGGGACACACAATTTGTCCATAAGAGTCAGTTACATACATATACAGCAGGAGCAGCTGGACAGTACGAAGATCACGTTGAGGAGGACTGCCCGAATTTGAATCCTCACTCTGCCACTTACTAACCGTGGACAATGTACAATTACTTACCTTCACTTTACCCCAGTTTTCTGCTTTGTAAAACGGGGCAGCAATAGCAAGTTGCTGCAGTTTTTTGTATTTTGGCCAACATAAAGATGTTTGACCACCAGGTGGCGTAGTAGTGTGAGGAAGTGCGCTAACAGTCATTGAGTTGCTGATCAACCTGTGGGACTCATTCTATGGTAGTTTTGTTTTTATTTTATTTTATTGGGGCAGAGTCTTGCTTTGTAGTGTAGTCTGGTCTTGAACTCATTATGTATCCCAGGATGGCCTCCAACTGGCAGTGATCCTCCTGTCTTGGCCTCCCCAGTGCTGGGATTATAGGTGTGCATCTGTACACCCAGAAGTTTCTTGCTTATTATTGAGGCTGCTAACATACGCCACAGGGTAAGATCAGAGATGACACTATTCTTTCACTCTTTTTTTTTTTTAATCGGTACTGGGGATCGAGCTCACGACCGCCTGCTTACAAGGCAGGTGCTTATGCCACTGAGCTAAATCCCCAGCCCAGAGATGACACTATTTATTCCAGTCTTGGGGTTTAAAGAAGGGACACTTAAGGCAGAAGTTCCTATTTGGAACAGGAACCTTAGTCTATTCTCTGTCTGCTTGTGGGATAGAAAATATCCCTTCTTTTGCAATAATTTCCCTATGTGGGGAAGAGCTCCAGACTTCAGAGCTCTAGTCCGAAGCATTTTTGTGCCCTGTTCACACATGAAGCCAGGATGCCAAGTGGCTCATAACAATTAGATTAAGACCAGTTTCAATACAACAACAAAAAGGAAATATTTATTAAGCACTTAGTGCATGCCTGCCTCTGCTCTAAATGACTTAATCATTTAATCTTCCTGCCAACACTTTGAGGTAATAGTGTTATCATCTTCAGTTTTCAGGTAATTTATGTGAGACACAGGGAATGTAAGGGGTTGGCACAGCCACATAAAGGACAAAGCTGGGATCGAAACGAGAGTCTGCGTGCTGAACTCCCACACTGTGGCTTCCATGGCATCCTGGCCATTGTCCGCCACCCACTCACCATTTTTGACTGAAGGCCAAGGCTGGCCCATGTCTTCTTCTTTATGGCCTCATGGTGACTGGACTTTGAAGGCCTTGAAGATCTTTCATGTTACTGGGACTTTCCATAGGTCCACCTGCAAATTTTTCTGTGGATTTAACATGAGGAAGCCGAAGGAGGCTGTTTTGTTCTCTAATAGCCTTGGAAAAAGTAGTTTGTCTCTTCTCTAGTGTCCAGTTATTTCTACCAAAGGATGAGAACAGTTGACTCAAAAGTTAAGCACTTTAAAAGTTTTGCTGTTCTTGGTGACAAAAGACTATTCATGCCTCAGAGAATAACTGAATGAAACCACTCAACTATTTTTTTGTAGGACCAAGTTTTGACCCTGATTATATGGAAAACCACCTAGCAGTTTTACTGTAAGGGAGAGAGGAGAAACAAGCATAATTTCTGAAAGGACAGACAGCTTCAATCATACTCATTTGTAACTATTGGACTTGTAGTCTTTGTTTTAACCACCTGGAGATAGAGGAGTGTGAGGCCTTTTCTTGTAGATTTCTGTTAGGTTACAGAAATGGGGGACATGGGAGGCTGGATAAACTGAGAATCCGTGTTCCACCTAAAGAGGTGGCTGCTGTTTAGCCCTTATGAACTGTAGCTAGGTGGAAATGTGAACCTTGTGTTCCCTGATGTTTAGATTTCTTTTTTAAAAACAGGAACTCAAATGTGGACTTTTATGGGAGTTCCTTCTCATAAAAGAAATTAATCTAAAAAGTAAATATAGTTTTTAAATGTTATCAGTTCAAATTAAACACACTCAGACCCACTGGGCCTCAAGGGCACCATTTCTTAATATGTATACTATGGGTTTGAATGACACAGTAATGCCCCCAGCAGATCCCTTAACGTGTGCCTGATACCCGACATGCAGACAGGCCCAGTAGGTCTGGGAGGCAAAAGACCCAAAGCCAGGCTCACCCTTGTGCCGTCCTTTGCCAGGTGCTGTCCTTCCACAGTGTAAGTCAAATGGGGGCGCTGCTGGCAGGGGTTGGAACCCAGGCCTTCTACAACATGGACCGCAAGGACCTTGTGCAGGTCCTGAGAAGCACAGTCTCCCAGCACATGTCGGATCTGTCACCTGCCCAGCAGCACGGTGTTCTCAGCAAGGTGAGAGGAAGACGTCTGGTCCTTGGCCACCCGGTGGCTCACCGTGAGTGTGAGATGGGGCTTTTGTGAGTGGACTGGAACACTGAGCTGTTTGTCCACAGGTGTGGGTATCTCAGTTACCGGTGTACTGAGTTGTTCTGAACCCCAAAAATGCCTTCTCCTGAACACTAATCTTTCCTTTTCTCAGACAGAACATTTGACCCTGCCATAGTTCTTCCCAGACAGACCCTGTCTTTCCTCCAACCAGTCTAATTTGGAGGCTTTTTTTGAACAAGATTTCATGATCTAATAACTTTAAATTAAAAAAAAAACTTGTTTGTCAAGTCTAAAATGAACCTGAAGTTTTCAGAGTATTTCTGAAAGGCCCCTTCCAGAGTCCAGAGTCAGGCCTATGTGCCATTCTCGCTTGGCAGTGGGACTCTTAGGCATCTTCTCTTGAGTCTGCTGGGTCTGATTGCAAAAACAGTTAAGAAACCAATGCCAAGGGCTTTAGCCTGCACATAAGCTCCTTGTGGACAGTAGGAGCAGGTGTGGTTAGAACAGTGTGGGTTTTGAGTAACACGACTTCAGCTTGAATCTCATGTATTGGCTTTCAACCAAGCACTTTTTAGCCTTAATTTCTCCACCTCAGCATGAAGGCAACAATATTGTCTTCCTCATGGAGTTGCCGAGTAGATCTGATGGAGTTTATTGCCTGTGGAGCAGTGCCAGTTCTTACCCAAATCTCCAAGCAGCTTTTATAAGGTTCTCACTGTCTTTCTTCTCACTTGGGACAGCTGAATGAAGCCAGAGACACGGCCCCGGGCATTGTGGAGTTGCAAGGGGCTCTCTTCAAGGAAGTGTCTCTCTTTGATTTAAGGAGAGAACTCCGATTCAACTCCTCAGTCCTGAAGGAAAAGGAGCTTCGGAGGAGCCAGGTACCAGCAGGATCTGCTCAGATCAGTCCTGTCTTTCTGTTTTCTGGGAATGCTTTAGGGTTAATTTGGTAAGACTAATTTTTTTTTTCTGTGTGATTCTACCCAGAAAGCAGAATAGCCTAGTGTTAAGAAGTGAGACAAGAGCTAGCATGAATTCTGGCTCCTATTTGTTAGCTTTGGGGAAACTGTTTCTCTGTGCAAAGTGGGGCTAATTTCTGGTGAGGATTGCTGAATCATGGCACCTGACCGGGCACAGCGTGCTATGCTAGTGGTCACGCTAGCACTGAGGTGGCTTGTGGAGACTGATACCTGGCCATAGAGCTTTCCTGTCCAGTTCGTCTATTCCATTTCATTCACTCCTCAAATGTTTATTGAGCACCTAATAATTACATGCCTCGTGTTGCTCATGGTTCTGGAAAGGCAGATATGAACTAAACAGACCCTCCCCCGAATCTCTCTCTTTTCCAGAGAGTCTGGCTCAGGCATCTCACATGGTTGGATGATATTACAATGGTTGATAGCGTGTAACAAACCACCACAAAATTCAGCGGCAAGAGCAATTATTTTACTCTGAAAAATGTACTCTGCTGGCAATGACTTTTAGATATTTTTGTCCTGGCAATTGAATTGATGGAGCTGCCATTTCTTGAGATGGGGAAGATCTTGAGAGGATCCCTGAACCTGACCTTGGGCCCTAGAAAATCTCCAGGGTCACACACAGAGTGCCCAGAGATTCCCTGCAGCCCTCCTCCTCTTACCTGGGCCTTTGTGATATTTGAAGGCCCTCTGCTGCCATGTTACAAAAGCTTCTGTCTAGTGCTAGCTCATAATTTACTCCGTTCGGGGAATTATGTTCAAAGTTTCAAAGTCTATAAAATAGATGAATGTCGTACTTGATTGCATCTGCAAGTTAGGTATTCTGTAAAATTACGCTCCTTAAAACAAATGAGTCCCCTGTCGCCCATGTATTGTTCTCCTAGAGTGCTCATCTGGGAGGGCTTGCGGGAGCGCACTGCAGCAGGCTTCCCCTTATTGATGGCTCTTCCAATCCTGGGCTATTCAGCTGCTTTGGCTTTGGACGCCTGTGCTCATGACTAGCAGGCAGGCCTGCAGAGCCCAGCGGCTTCTTAAAACTCTAGCTCTGCTGCTCTTGGCTTTGCTCCTATTCGTCCTGTACAATTGTAGAAAATGGTCTGGAATATAACCACATGACCTCTAGGATTGCTCTAACACCAGTTCTAATAGTCATGGCCACTTAGCAAGCATTTAGTTCTGAGCTAATAACATACTTTGTTCAGCTTGTTTCCACATCTGTAAAATGGGATCATAGAGCACCTTCCCTAGGCGCCTCATGGTGGTGGTGGGGCTTCATCTGCTTTGACGACCTCTCTCTTCCCTCAGGCCTTGTTTCTGTATGAATTTCTGTCAAAGGTGACTGGACGGCCTGAGGAACTCCTGAGGTAGGAGCACATGTCTTGGTGCCAGGCTGAAGAGCCTTGTGGAGGGAGAGCGGGACAGTCCTACGTGTACCTATGTCAGAATGAACCTGCTTTCTCTTCTTCCTTTCCTCTCTCCTCCCTACCCCTTCTGCTCCCCATCCTGGCTTTGTTTCCTAGTGCTGGGCAGCTGATCAAAGGCGTGACGTGCTCCCACATTGATGCCATGGATGCCAACTCCTTCCTGGCCCATTTCCGGTATTTTGAGAACAATCTCTCTCTGCTTTCACCAGATCAGGTATCACTGAAGCTTCTTCCTGCTTCTAAATCTCACTCCTCACCTGTTGGGCCTGGATTGATTGTGGTGTCTGAAGATATCTGTGCCAGAGTTACTCAGCTTCGAGCAATGATTTGACATCAGATATTGAACAGAGTTGTCTCCCTTTCTTTTTAAAGTCTCGATGGACTTACATCTCTACAGCCAAAGTTTGAACAAGTTGGGGTTTTCACACTCATACGTGAACCTTAGAAACGTGTCTGTAAGGCATACTGTCTGGATGTTCCTAGTATGTCCTCCTGGGATGGAAGGTCACCCCTCACTGATGCTCCTGTCCTTTTCCAAGGGTTGCTGAGAATGAAAACAATTCTCTAAGAGCATTTTCTTTCTTTTTTATTTTCTAAATGGTTCCACAGACACTTTAGCCCTTTGTGGAAACTAGAGGCTGCAACTGACTTTTTATAGTAGACCAGTTAGTATAAAACAAGCCTTCGGGACAGTGTTTGGGGGTTCACTGTCAACTGTTGGCTGTAGAGTGTCTTGAGAGGGAGGCAGGTAAACACCTGGGGCCTCTTGTGATTCAGACCCAGATTACAAAATCCATACAGAGAATTCTGTCCACAGTCCCCCGGGACGCCTGGCCTACAATCCTTTGAAATCCTTTAATGGGGTCGGTAGGGGGCGCTCGGGAGGAGGAGTCCTGGACAAGCATGCGGGAGTGGGGGGTGGGATGGGAGGAGGTGAGGTCCAGCATCCGCGCGTGCAAGGACAAGGATGGGGGCCCCAGGAGGGCGCCCTGAACATTCCGGGGACTCACAGCCTTTGTGGGAATTTTGCATTGGATACATTCCACATTTTTTGAGAACTACCGTCTTTTTTTCTCACCTCTTCACTTTGGAACGGTCGGTAGATGTCTTTTTGCAATAAAACGGGACTTTATTGTTCTGAATTCAAGAACACTACTGAAACACCTTCATGTATGGAAGGCCTGTGGATGATTATGAATGACAGCCTTACTGAATAGGGCTTTGTAATTAGGACAGCGAAACGACTCTGTCTCTATCCAGAGGTAGTCCTAGCATACTACTATTGCATACACACAGGAGTTATGAATTTATTTGGGGTAGACACTAAGGCCTGCTGGAAGGCACCAGAATGGGGTTTTCTGGTGACACTGAGAGCTGTGAAGGATTGGAAGCTCTGATTATTTTTACGTGCTTGTGATTTTTATCTTAAATGGACTAATGATGGGATTGCTCTTCATCTACATGCAGACTTGTGTTGGAGTCAATTAGGAGGTGTAATTACTGTGCTGTGCCACATTTTTGATCATGGAGAGACCACTCCTGTGATGTGTACGCCACCTCTCTGATAAAGCTTTGCATTGCCATTGCAGGTGCTTCAGATGGATATTTTAACTGTGATTCTCAGGACCTCCAACAATTACGGAAGACATTCTACTGCCAGTATATACATATAATTTTATTTTTTTACACAGATAGCCTCATTGTTTCCCATGTATGTTATGGGTACACCGATCAAAGCAGATGTCAGAAGATCATTTGTATGAATGCGGTTTCAGTTATTCTCTGTTTTTTTTTTTTTTTTTTTTGTCTTTTTCATTTTTATCGGTACCAGGGATCGAACTCATGACTGCCTGCTTGCAAGGCAGGCGCTTATGCTGCTGAGCTAAATCCCCAGCCCCCAGTTATTCTCTGTTTTAATTTGATGTTTGGAAATACAGTGTCCTTGTCTTGCTATTATTCTTTGTTAATGACATGGGTAATAATTCTAGAGAGAGGTAAGATCTATAGATTGGAAGTATCTGAACTCAGCTTTTGACTAATTCAAGGTTGCAGTTGGTGGCTTGGTATAACCATGTCAAAATTTCTGACATCTAAAATCGTAGGTGTTCGGACCAACTTAACCTGAAATCTTATAGGAACCAAACATATGGAATACAAATTTTAATACCTTATTGTACACATGTGCTCCTAAATCTTACTTCATGGAACAAGTGACTCCACTGAGATACACAAAGATGCTATTGCTTCCAGTTGTTTTAATGATTACTTATTATCTTAGTTATTTTCCCCTTGTTGCTGAGACAAAATACTTGATGCCCAAAATTAGGGAAGGAAAGATTTGTTTAGATCACAGTTTGTGGAGGTTTCAGTCCGTATTCAGCTGGTTCCAAGGCAGGATGGCATGGTTAAGGGGCAGCGGTTCATGGCAGTGGCAAGCAGCAAGAGCAAAAAGGCCAAAAGAAAAGTGCCTGCTTCCTTCTCTCCCTTATGCTGTATGCATGCTACCTGCCCCTGGGTGGGTACAACACTCACACTGCTAATCCCAGTGCTAGACAACAAGCCAATCACAAATGCTAGATTCAGCCAGCTCCATGACTGTGTGAGGCATTGAGGGGCCATCCAAACACAAACCATAGCACTTCTTTTATCCTTAAAAAGAGTATTTGTGACATTTTATGCGCCATATCTGTAAACACTTATTTAAGAAGCAGCTCCTTAAACACAGCGAGGTGGCTTTTCACACACTGTAGTTGTTAGCATTTGCATCCCTTGCTGTTTTGATTTTGAGGCTGACGCCATTTTTGACACCATATATACATTGATGGCTTCTGGCATCTGTTCTTTGACTCACTTTTTCAGAGTTAATTTAGAGAGTGTTATCTTTGGCATTCTAACAGTGAGGTCAATACAAAGTTTTGCAAATCTCCATTATCAATGGAGCATAATGGGACATTTTACCAATTTGCTTCCAAAAGCACTTATAGAGTGGATCAAATGCAATATCAGACTAGATAGTGTTTTCGGGGGAGCCATGTGGACAATAGTGTGCCTCAAACTGTCCACGCTGCGCTGATGGTGAGCCAGTGCTCAAAAGGATGTAGACTTGAGGACTGAACGGAAATAGTTGAGAATATGCAAAAGCGAGAGATAAGAGCTGGAGTTACATGTGAATGATTCTGTTTTAGAAGAAGCATGGTATATTTGGAGCACTAAGCCTGATTGCAGCATCCTGGGAATCTGGGATGTGAAAGACCCTCGCAGTGCAACCATGCCCTTGTTTGGCAGCAACCTGCTCTCGAATGCAATGCCTTCCTTCACCACTGTTTCAAAACGTGGTACAGAGAACTGAAAATTAAGCGAGAAACACATTATTTCAGTACTTTTAATGCAAAGAAGGTGCTGCAAAGAAGGCATTAAAGACACAGGCTCAACATTCATTAAAATCTCAGATTTTAATAACAGATGCTTAAAATAAGAGACTAAGAATGGCTTAAAGTTTTTCTGATTACTAAGAGCAGATTTATTTTTCTCCATTGAATATCAGCCTTGTTAAGCTTGTCACAGGTAATTTTGCTTACACTAGGAAAGATCTATAATTTTCACTGTTTTTAAAGATCCTTTCTAGGGAAGGTGTTTTTAAAAGCAGCTTATTTTGTAATGTTTTGGGTCTCTAGAAATTTGCTTATCCAACAAATTAAGTATTTCACCTTGATTAGTCCTCAACCTAAGTTCAACAGGTATTAACTTGTCTTTAGAACTCAGTGGTTTTCTCTGAATATCTGGATAAAATGAAAACTGGTAGCTAGAAACAGCATGGTACTGGCAAAAAACAGACCTGAAGATCAATGGAACAGACTAGAAGATGCAGAAACAACTCCAGACACACTCAGTTACCTTATCTTTGACAGAGGAGCCAGGCACATTTGCTGGAAGAAAGATAGCCTCTTTAATAAATGATGCGGAAAAAACTGGTTTTCTACATGCTAAAGACTAAAACTAGACCCCTACACTAATCTATTCACTAAACTAAAATCGAAATGGATCAAAGACCTAAATATTAAAACAGAAACACTTAATCTGCTGAATGATTAAATAGGTAGAACTCTTGAAGATATTGGTAGAGGAAAAGATTCATGAATAAAATCCTTATCATATAGGATCTATCACAAAGAATCAATAACTGGGATCTCATTTTATTTAAAAGCTTTTTCGCAGCAAGAGAAACCACCAACAGAATGAAGAGACAACTCACAGTGTGGGAAAAAATTTATAGCAGCTGATCCTCAGACAAAGGGCTGCTATCTGAACTAAATAATTAAAAAAATAAGGCCTCCTAAATTAAAAGACCCAATCCAGAAATGGGCATCTGAAAAGAATGGGCATCTTTTATAGGATGAAGAAGTGGATACAACAAATAAATATATGAATAAATGTTCAACATCACTGGTTATTCAAGAGATGCAAATTAAAACAAAAGTGAGATTCCATTTCATTCCAGAAAGAATGGCATTATCAAGAAATCAACCAATAACAAATGTTCTTGAGGCTGTAGGGAAAAAGAAACCCTTTTCTACAGTTGGCAGGAGTGTAGACTGGTGTAAACACTGTGAAAATCAGTGTGGAGATTTCTAGAAAAACTAAAACTAGAGGTCCAGCTCAATCCAGCTATTCCCCTTCTTGGTATCTTCTTGAAAGAATTAAAAGCATTATATCACAGGTATATATGTATACTCATGTTTATAACAGCACAGTTTGTAATAGCTAACAGCCCAAATGCCCATCAACTGATGAATGGATAAAGAAGATGTATTTTTTTAATATAATGGAATACTACTCAGCCATAAAGAAAGCTAAACTTGAGACATTTCTAGGTCAAGACACCTTGAGACCACACTCTTGAGTGAACATGTAAATACCACATTGTTTTTCTGGAATGAGGAACCCGGACTATAAATAAGTACTAAAATATAGAATAGATATTGTGAAATAGGAAGAAAATGTTCAAATGGGGAGGAGAACTAGGGAGGGAAAAAGGAAGGAAGGGAAAAGGAAAAAATGAGAAAAGAAGGGAAAATGGGAACAAAGCTTTTGTAAATAGAGGGGCAAGAAGGACTTTAGAGGAGGGTGAGAAAAAAGAAGCGTCAAGTTGTATCACATATAGATATAAATTCTCTATGATGACTGTGATCATTGCCTAAACCTAAATGAACCAATAAACTTAATTGATTAAAAAAGAAAGGAAAATCAGTTAAAATCATGATGTTACTAGATGCTAAATCTTGAATCAAGCAAAGGCCTTTCTATTTAATGGCCCTGGGATTTTTGGACATAGCCTTTGTTTCTAGTCAACATTTTGTAATACATATGTTAAGTCCTCATTATGTTTGATTTTGGATAAGAAAGCTCATGACTTATGAATCTTTTCTCTCAGTAAAACCTACCTAACATTAATACTTTGAAAAATGATATTTGTCTTGAAGCTATAGTAGCCAAATATAGACTAGTACTTATTCTTTTTCTTTGCCAGGCAAATACTAAATATGCTGAATCTGTAATATTTTAGTATATCTTTAAGTTAATTGTTTTGGAGTTTTTAGACTTATACTTCCTTTAAAGCCTTGGCCCTCTATCCATGGGGTTACAAAATACTTTAATTCCATTAAGTTAGTTCACTTATAGTAGACAGGCAATCATATACAGAAAAAGAGTGAAGTTATGTTTTAAACCTCTACAGTTGTAAAATGTTCTAGTATAGGATGCAAAAGAGCTAAGAAAGAATGCTGCATTTTATTTATTTTTCAAATAATTTGTCTTGGTGTAAGCAAAGAAGAAATTTGTAAAATTAGACAAACACACTTTGGATGGTGTTTTCATAGGGAATATTTTAAAGAAGCTGGCAGGATTCAACAAAAAAGAATGAGCTGTATTAACTCATAAACTATTCCAAATGCAAAAATAAATAAGTAAAGAGATTAAAAGAATATGCAAAGTTTTAATACAGCTCAGGCATTTCTTTGGATTATTTATTCTACAAGTGCTTCTCAGATTTGAGCTTGTATCAGCGAGGCTTATTAAACACAAATTGAAAGTCTAGGGGTGTCGCTCAGGGTAGAGCTCTTGCCTAGTGCTTGCCTAATGTGTAAGGCAAGGTTCTCCCCCCAGCATGGCCAAAAGCAAAACAAACACAAACTATGGATTGCAGGCTCCAATCTCAGAGTTTCCTATAAATTAGGTCTGGGGTGAGGCCTAAGAGTTTTCTTTTTTTCTTTTTTAGGCACTGGGGACTGAACCCAGGGCTTTGTGCATGCTAAGGAAGCATTCTACCATAGAACCACACCCCTGGATAGCAGAATTTGCATTTCTAATTAGTTACCTGGTGAGAGTCATCAAACTACATTAAAAATCCTGCCCAGGCAGGGAAGTCAATAACTGAGTAAATGAATGGAGGTCAGACCCACTTTGAGGAAGACCTGCATGTTAGAGTGGGAGCAGTTTCCCCAAACAGGTGCTGCTTAGAGTCCCAGTGGTCAGAACCTTCAAATACCAGTTAATTAGATAATTTATCTGTATTGTTTGCATTTTACCCAGAATATATAATCATTATGTGAAATAATATGGAGAAAGTAAAAATTCCCCCAATTTCTCTAGAGCAGTGGTTCTCAACAGGAGACCTCTTGGGGACCTTTTGAGTATGTCTGGAGACACTTGGTTGTCACAACTGGGGTGTGGATGTGGACGGATGCTACTGGCATCTAGGGGATGGCAGCTGGGGATGCTGCTGAGCATCCTGCAATGCACAGAACAGCTCTCACTGCAGAGGTATTTGATCTAAAAAGTTGGCAGTCCTGAGACTGAGTGTCCCTCTTCCATAGGTCTATACAGGGAGATCTTAGAGTTCTTTTTCTTGCAATGTACAAAGATATTTACATGGGAGGTAAAAAGTACAAATGAGGGGCCAGGGATATAGCTCAGCAGTGCAGCACCTGTCTGGCAAGCAAGGCCCTGAGTTAAAAAAAATACAAATGAGTTTATATCATCCACTGTGTAGCATTCCATTGCCTGCATATGCTATAGCTTACTGAACTAATCTCCTCCTGCTGGACATTCATGTTATATCTCACTTGTAAACAAAACTGTGATGATTGTCACACTTAAACTTTTGTGTTCATCTTTATTGTCTCTGTTTCCTCATCTGTAATGTGAGCACAGTAGCAGCACTCATGCCATAGAATGATAAGTGAATATCTAAAAAGCATTTAGTATGGAGCTTAGCACACAGATGGTGGCCATCTGTGTTTGCTATTATTATTGAACTAAATTCTAAAAGCACTTATCTTTCAGGTTAATTGTTTGGCGTCGAAATACTGGGATGTTTCCAGGTCTTCTATGCCACTGTTCCTCTTGGTCACACTTCCGTAAGTGATCCTGGGCCCCTCTCTTCTGGCTTGGCAGTAGGATGGGTGGGATCACCTGAACCAAAGTGATTCTTTGTTGCTGTGTTTTCCAGAGGATCCAGGGGCAGAGTGGAGAGTGCCACACACAGCTAAGCCCCAAGTAGATTACATGCCTTTTTGAACTCTCTTGCTTTTTCTTTTATTTAAAAACCAAAGGCAAAGTAACCCTTGCCTGAACGATTACCAGTGAAGCAAGTCTCATTTAGGTTGGCTTTTGAGGTAGGCCTGATAGAGGGGACTTTCTGCTTCTCAGTCATGGTCAGGACGCTGTTTATCTTTTCTTCTTTCTGCCTCTTTTTGCTATTATAGTCTTAGTTCATTCAAAAATATGTAATTGGGTACTTACTGTGTGCTAGTTCTGAGAGAGAGCTGAATTTCCCCCTTACAGTCTTTGGGGAGAGAGACAAGCATGAAGCTAATTATAGTATCAAATTGATATTTTGTTGAAACTGACAGAACCTGATTCAGATGACTCAGGGATACAAAGGAATTTTTGGTTCTGGTAGCTGGAAATTCCCAGAGCAGGAGTAATTCAGGCATGGCTGGATCCAGGGACTCAAAAAACGTCATCTGTCTCTTGGGCCAGCTTTCTTCTGTTGGCTTCACTATCAGGCAGGTCGCTTCTCTCCTATGCCCCTTGGAAGACCCAAAGTTACATTTTCTGAGTGTCATATTCAGGGAAAAGAGAAAGACTTTTTCTTCTCTTCATTCTTAATGAAAGTTTTGGGTTTGACTTTCACTGGTCTTAATCGGGCCAGTTTGGCCTTCTTGAGTCAGTCAATGGGAGGATGAGTAATTTTGACTGGAGCTGGAAGTGAAACTGGCCACACCTCAAATCACAAAGATTAGAGGGAAAGGATTGGTTTTCCTAGATCCCCCAGTCTGCTACTGTGACAATGGGGAACAGGAAGTGGGCATGCAAAAGGGAGTATTGTTTTTGGGCTGGAGAGTCAAGAGGGCCTGAAGGAAGAGATGGGGTAGAGATTTAGACGGACACTCCAGGGAGAATCATGGGGACATCTGATCCAGTGGTGGAAGAGGCCATCAAACTACATGGTGCATATCTGCAAAGCAGGTGCAGGGAAAAGGCCATAAAAGAGGGGCATCAAGTCATGGGGGGCTTTGTGTGATACCCTGATGTGTTCCACTTATGTTTTGGGTGCAGTGGTCATGTTTATGTTTTAGAAAAGTCATCACCATCATCCAGGCAGAAAACAGGGGCTGTGTGGAAGGAAGAAGATGATGGAAGCTGATTTCAGTAGCCCAGATATACACATGGGTGGCTCCGCCCCCTCATGTCTCTACACAGATAGTCCTGGCTTAGAATGCGCCCTTTTGATTACCCCATCATCATTCTCTGTATGGCAAAGCCGTTGTATTTTCTCCCTTACATTTGTCATTCACTGAAATAATCTGTCATTTCAGTTTACCCTGTTTGGCTTCTGTGTTTCTTCTCCCTCCTAAAACTAAGCACCAAGAAGCCAGGGAGAACTTATGTCTTGTCGTTGCTATGTCTGGGTATGAATGCAGGGCCTGGTTGCAATAAACACTGTAGATATTTGCTGAATGAATGAGGAAACAGAGAAGACTTTTACTGGAAATGGAGAGATGAGAACAGACTAGATTAATATTAGGGAACAATGACAGTTTGGAAGTAAAGCGGAAACAGATCCAGAAGCAACATAGAGGAGAAAGAATATGTTTGAAGGAAGATATTCAATCTGGTTTCGGAACAGTTAAGTGGCTAGGATGAATACTCCATGTGGATCTTGGCAACCTTTGTTTCATTTTTGCCTTTCAAGGAGAAAACTTTAATTTCATCCTAATAAGAGAAATTATATAATAGGAAAATATTTTACTGAATAGTGTTGAGCTTTGGTGAGTCAAAAATCATTGTAAGATCCTTCCCTGACCCCATCAAACCCACAGTCAAAGGTTTAGGAGAGGACTCTGGGCTGGAAGGAGACACAATTGGGGATCATTTCTCTTATTCTTCTCACTTTTTGTTTCTATTTTTTACTTTCCATTTTATTCTATTTCCCCTTTCTCTATCTCTTCCTTCAACTAGTCCATCAGTCATCATGTTTATGGAGGATGCAGCCTCTGATCAGTATTGCTGAGGCTTAGAAGAGGAGCATTTTGGGAAGTTCGCTTCCTGCCTCTAGAAAAGAAGTACCGTAGGAAGTTTGTTTCCCTCCCCATAAGAGAAGCACGATGAGCGGAGACTTGCACCAGGCCACAAGGAGCCACAGCATCACTGGGGAGAACACACATTACTAGGGAGAACACATATTTGAAGCATTTGAATCGTTCTTGTGATGAACTCTTGTGTGTGGGACCCTGATTTCAGGAGCAAATGCAGAGCAACCACTCTCTTCCTCTTCTCAGTCTCCCTTTCCCTCTCCAGGGCACGCTTCCTGGCTTCTGTCCCAGCCTCCAAGTGTGCGCCCTTTCTGATCAGCCTGGGGAAGAATCAGTTGGACTCCTTGGTTTTAGATTCTTACAAAAAGAATTTGGTTCTCAGGAAGGTGCTGAAGTGCCTGGTAAGGAAATGTCATAAATGACACTTTCACTTAGGTCCCTTCCCCTTGTGATATCTGTGCCTACCTAGGGAGCCTTTGAGAGGATCTGCCTGGGATCTCGAGCCTGCTGTGCTGCTAAGAAATCTAACTCCGGGCTTTAAAACCACTGGTTGGAACCATTTTAAGCCATTGGTTCTGCAGACTGCTGTCCAAGGTCCTGAATGGGAAAGGCTACCCTGGAGGACTGGGAAAAAAGCAAGGCTTACAGAGTCTGAGTTCTAGGCATGCTTTAGGAAAGTCACTTCCCTTCCCTGAGTCTCAGTCTTGTCATCTATAAGATGGGTGCCTCCTGGAGTTCTGGAGGGCATAAAGTGGACAGTGCTTAAGGCAATATCCTGGGGTCAGGCTGCCTGGGGAGCTGTCTTTAAAAATTGGATGATATTAGTGCTTACCTCTGACAGTTAGTAGGAACATTGAATGTATCAAGACCTGTGGACACTTAAGGCAGTGGCTGGAACATAGCACACAATAAACATAAGGTATTTTTGCCATTTAGAGGAAGAACTTTGAAAGCTTTTAAGCTCCATACAAACTTTCAAGTGTTGTTTTTTTTAAATACGTTATGCTAATTTTATGATGCTTGTTAAACTCTGGAGAGTCCCTAGAGCTGTGACAATAACAGCTCTTATCTCCTGAGTGCTCAGGATGTGCCCAGCTAGGTTTTCTCAGATTTCTGAGGTCACTGTCCCTGGGGAAAATCAGGCTCTTCTCTATCTCTGGTGGTCCATGTGGGAATCTTTAAGAAGTTTGGGGCAGGAAGTATTTTTCTTTTCCTTTTTCTTTTTTATTGGTACCAGGGATCGAACTCACGACTGCTTGCTTGCAAGGCAGGCACTTATGCCGCTGAGCTAAATTCCCAGCGGCAGGAAGTATTTTTAAGGAGTCATGTCCTCAAGCCCTGATAGATGTCTCATAAGCTTCATTTGTTGGTTTCAGGGCAATTCCATGGCTGATGAGTACATTGTGGACATCGTGGGAAAACTGCTCTGTCATTTACCAGCAACCTTTATTGAAAGAGGAATCTCCCCCAGGGCTTGGGCCACCGCTTTGCCTGGCCTCAGAGCTTGCCCAGACCTCAGCCCGGAACAGAAGGCTGCAGTGAGGCTCCGGCTCCTGGAGCAGTGTGGGTGAGAGGGCTGGGGCTCAGCTTTGTGGGGCTGAGCATGCTGGGTGAGGGGGAACTAAAGCTGACTCTCCTGCCGTGTCATCAGAGATAGTTTCTAGTGTAGGATATGATCAGATGCATACACCTATTCTGGAAATGTGTACTTCCTTTTTTTGGCTTCAGATTCCCTGTGAAGTGGGAACAATTGTAGCTGCCAGCAGGTCTTACATGGTTGCCACTGACATCCAGCATATGGGAAGGGAAAGAGTTTTGAAAATATGGCACATTAAAATGTGAGGTTTGGTATTGCTTTAGGAAGTCTTTCATTTGATGATTGCTAACCTCAAACCTGTCTTCTGGGTCTGATATTCTGTTCCCACACTGACTGATTCTGTTTCATATAATTTCAATAGAATTTTTAAGCTCATTGGATATCTGCTCAAATCTCTTTCATGGAATCTAGTTTTTTCCTATGTTGGGTATTTATCACTTTTGTAAGCTCCTGTCTTATTTTATCTTTGTCTATTCTATATTCACTAACCAGGTCCTTATTATGTTCACCATCTTTTTAATTATTAAAAAAAGTGAAAGTATTACTGATTTGTGTTTTTCTAGAGCTTCATTCATCTTTGTTACAATTTTTGATGATACCAATTCAGAAAGTTCAGCTGGGTGGCTTTTGATTTCTTCTGCTTTAATACTCCCTGGATTTGCCTTGGGCAAGCTGGAGGTCTGGGGTTGCATCTTGGTTCTATGTCTTCTTCTTTTTCTATGTTTTGACATTTATTTTTGTGTTGATTCTTGTGAATTGCTCATGGTAGGCAGCTTTATTACTAGTATCAAGATCTCCTTAGGAAATGACTACTTTTCAGAGATGTCTTGTAGGTGCATCTGCACTTTGGCTTTTGAGTCTGGCTCAAGATCTTGCCTGTTCAATTTATTAGAGATGAGAAGTTGCTGCCTAATTGGCCCAGTACCAGTTCTTTGGTGCTGGACAATGGTATTGGTTATGGCCTCCAGACAATCTCTGTATTGACATATAGGGGGAACAACTGATCACAATCACTATGTCACCTTGGCTAAAGTAGCACAATCAGTAATGACAATAGCATCAAACACAGCCTTAAAAGTGACAGCGATAACTATTAACTTGCCACATTTAACTATATGTATAAGGTTTTATGTATAGTTACGTAAAAAGTCTAAGACAAATCAGAAAGTTATATACATTAATATCTTCTTGATAGGACAGTTTTACCCCTGGGAGAACATTTAAAATGGATAAGTGGAAAAAATAGAGAAATAAAAGAAGAGAAAGAGATTAGAAGCAAAGATGAAGGACAAAGAAAGATTACCCAGCTTTGGGAAACTGGTGAAGAAAAATGGGGGGAAAGAAAGAAGGAAAAAAATCCCCCCAAACCAAGAACTAAGTAAAACAAAAAAAAAAAAACCCTCTAGAAACAAAGTTGACACTCGTGAAAAAACAAAAACAATAACAACAACAAAACAAATGCAAAGAGAAAGAGAAAAAGATTTCTCTGTGATTTCAAGCCTGTAGTTAATCTTCTGGGGTCTACAGTTTTGTGGTGGTGTTCAGCTTAGGTTGTGTCTCCACCGTTATGGTACACAAAGGAGGCGGACAGAGTTCGGCTCCATGCTGGATGCTCCTGGCAAGCCTGCAGCAGGATTAGGATGGGGTACCAATTCTGTTGGTTTCAACTCCACAGAAGTTCAGGCTGATTCTGGCCAATGGTTGTGAGGCTGGGGCCTGAGGTGTTCAGCCGACAGCACTCGGGGTGTCTCTTGCTGGCCTGACCTCAGCCCTTGACCCTGGATGTCTCCCATGGTTGTGGTTTACCCAGTCATGGGAGCCCTGAGAGGAAGCCACCCATAGCTGCTCCAAGTCCCAGGTTCAGTTGGCCCCTCCCTAAAATGGCTTCCTGCCAAGAAGAAAATGCTGGGCTGGAATGATTTACCAGCTGTTGTAGTTTACAGCATCTGCTGCTCTGTTCCACTGGGGCGTTTCTTCACGGAGGCCTCTGGTGTCATCTGCCTTCACCATGTCTAGATTTGAATCTCTCTCAGGTCGCAAGCAGGAGTCAGGGAGAAAGTACAGTTTGCCTCTTCTCTTTTTCTGTGTTGAGGTCCATCTCCTCATGTTTCCTGTGGGTTCCAATTCTTCCTTCAAATCCTTTCTGGGTCCTGGGGATCTACCTCTCTTCTTTTCTTCTCCAAGCTGTTATATTCCAGTTTCTGGATTCCTAATCTTGAGGATGCTGACCACTTTTTATTGTTTTAAAGAGTAGTTTTGGGTTCTTTATAACAAAATTGAGAAGAAGGTACAGAATTCCCATATATCACTTGTCCCAAAATATCTATAGTTTTTCCATTGTCAAAATCTCCCAGCAGAGTGAGACACTTATTCCAATTGATGAATTGACATTATTTTCATTATATTACCATTGAGACTCAGTCAGTAGTTTACATTCGGGGTCACTTATGATATTGTGCACTTTATGGGTTTGGATAAATGTATAAAGCATATTCACCATTAAATGTCATTCAGAGTGGTTTTACTGCTCTAAGAATCTCCTTGATACATATATTTATTCCTTACTCCTCCTACTCTCTGATCACCACTGATAATTTTGCATTTCCCAGAATGTCATGTCACTGGAAGCATATAGTGCATAGGCTTTTAAAGATTTGCTTCTTTCATTTGGTATTGTGTATTTAAGTTTTTCCTCCACATCTTTTAATGGCTTGGTAGGTCATTTTGCTTTGGTGCTTATTAATATTCTTCTGTCTGGGTGTGCCACAGTTTTGTACAGATCTACTGCTGAAGAACATCTTGGTTGCTTCTGGATTTTGACCATTCTACATAAAGTAGCTGTAAACATTCATGTCAAATTTTTGTGTGAATGTAAGTTTTCATCTCTTTTGGGTAAAAACCAAAGTGTGCACTTGCTGGATCTTGTAAGAATGCATTTAGTTTAAGAAGCCATCTTACTGTCTTCCTGGGTTAGTGCTGTTATCCTGCCAAACTTAAAAGAAAAATTTTGTTTTTGTAAGAGAAGACAAAATTAAAAAGGAAAAAAGTCTATCATTACTCTTAAGGAAGGAAAGGAAGGAAACAGTGTGATATAAGTTGCAGAAACTTGACAATGCAACTCAAACTTACAAAAGTAGAAATTTATTGAATTAAAAAATGAAATATAATGGAAAACTGAATGGTGTTGACTTCATGCATGGCTGGAGTCAAAATCTCAAATATTCCTCAGCTCAGAGTTCTTTTGAGTGGCCTTTATTTTCCCCACTTGGCACAGGATTGGTCTCTAATGTCCTCCTTACTGGGAGAGATCTCAGAAAAATTAGGCCCCTTTGATAGTTCCATTGGATGTCTTTGGTCAGGCTGTGTGCCCATGTTTTTTAAGTCAGAAAAATGAATCCCTGATAGCCTTTCAAGATATTGAGAATGATCTGTTCTTAAAAGTAAAAATGCTAGGGTACAAGGACAAAAGAACTCCACCACTGCATGGATATTTTATGCTATTGTCGGTTATCTCCTCTTAGACCTCCACAGAACTGGACAGCAGAGACTGTGAAGGACTTGGGACCATTTCTCATACTCTTCTCAGGAGATGAACTACGTTCTGTTGCCACAAAGGTACTTCTATGCCTCCTTTTATGAAGATTGAAGATTGAAAGTACGGTCAGTTGTATTCCTTGAGAGCTACAGTCTGTGGTTCTGAAAGCTTCTTCCTTGCCTGAGATATGTACAGCTTCATTTCAGGTTGCCCAGGGATCAGAAACAAGCGAGTGAGGCAGGAGCTAAATGAACTCTGGACTGCCGCCTTGGTCTTTCAAGCAGTTATGAAGTCTGGGAACTGTCACTTAGCTTTTATTTTATTTTTTGGGTACCAGAATCAAAGTCAAGACCTCATACTTGCCAGGAGGGTGCGGTGCCATTGAACTAAATCCCTGGACCCTGATTTTATTTATTTATTTTTTCAAGACAGGGCCTTATATTGCTAGATTGTGGCTGACCTTGGACTTGTGTATACCTTGAACTTGTATAATTCTAGGCCGATTTATATCTCCTCATGTCTTAAGCATTTTTGTTTATTTGTTTGTTTTCAAGTTGGGGTCTCTCCAGGCTGATGTTAAACTCCTAGGTTTAAGTGATCCTCTTGCCTCAATCTTCTGAGTATCTGGGACTCAGATGTGTGCCACTGCACCTGCTTTCATTCAAAGTCTTAGAGCCACCAGTTCCATATGATCATGCACATGTATGCCCAGGTTGTGTAATTGTGGTGCAAACAACAGGAAACAGCTTTACTGAACATCAGATTTGGGCAGAGCATTGTGCTTGGAGTGATGCTCCATGATTTAGAAAGCCTAAGCCAGGAGACATGCAAGCCAAGCAAAAATTTACCCTCCTTCTTCTGTGTAACAAAGCCACACGGTTTCACTGGTATCTAGCAAAGAGTCTTTGTTTCCGCCTGCCTGGTCTGTGGGTCACTGGGGCAGCCATAAGTCTCCATAAGTCTGTCTCTAGAGCCCTTGATGTGTCTTTTCATAGAGAAGGTCTAAAGCTCCTGAAAATGGAGTGGAAAAGTATAATTGGAAAAATGGCTCACTGTCACTTTGACAACATGCCAGGGGCCAAAGCAAGTCACATGAGTAAACCTCTATGGGACGAGAAGTAGCTTCTTTTCATAAAGCTGGAGGATGGAAAAGGAGTGAATCCACACACTGCCCATCCTGTACAGAAATGTATGTACATTACACCTCTTAGCGGGGCTCTCCAGTAAACACACATGGCTCCAGGGCACGTGTGTGTCATGTACTTGTCAACCCATCTTCTGAGAATTTAAACATATAGTCATGAGCAGTAGATATATAATAAATATTATATGCTGGTCTAATCTTTTAAAAAACCAACTTCAGGGATGGGATGGCACACACCTGTGATACCAGCACTCTTGGAGGTTGAGGCAGAAAGATCATGTGTTGAAGCCCAGCATGGGCAATGTATTGAGAACTCACCTCAAAATAAAAAATCATACTAGGCTTGGTGATTTAGCTCAGTGTGAAGGACATGGTTTCAATATCAAGTTTTGGATCGAACTCATGACCATGTGCTTGCAAGGCAGGCACTTAGGCCACTGAGCTAAATCCCCAGCCCAATATGAAGTATTGAAAAAAAAAGGAAAATTCTAAAACTTCTATATGATCTTGTATAAACATGATGAGATTTCAAAAAACGTGGCATAGAATTTAAAAATTTCCTGAGTTACAAAGAATATGCACAACAGGACACTAAGTATGTGAGAAAGTACTAGCTAAATTAATTTTAAGCACATGGAAACCAGTGTATATAAAGAAAAATTTAAAAATTCAGGAGAATGGTTAATACCAAATTCAGCATTGCAGTTACTTCTGGGGAAAGGGAGCAGAAAAGTGAGGGGAGGACCGATCAATTATATCTGTGATGTTTTATTTCATAAGCTGGATTATGGGTCCATGGGAGTTTTGTTGTATTATTCTCTATACTCTTTTCTTATGATTTGAATGTTTAATAAAACAAGTAATATATGCTCCTGGATAAAAAAAATCCCAACTGCTCCAAAGGCTACAGCATGAAAAGAGTCCCTCCCACCCAGATTTCTAGCTCCCCAGCCTCCCTCCTCAGAGGTGATCACTGTTCTGTTTCTTCTGTATCTTTTCAGAAAAATCCTACTCACTTAAACAATGACCCCCTTTAAAAATACAAAATTGAAAATACCAGTCACTCTGCTACGTACTTTGCATTTTTAGAAGTTAACCGCAGTCATGTCTTGTTTAGTGGTGGGGATGAATCCTGAGCGAAGCATCATTAGGTGATTTTGTCACCATGCAAACATCATAGAATGTTTTTACACATGCTAACATCATGAGGTGATGTAATCTCCGGGGCTACTGCTGTATATGGAGCTTGCATTGATGGAAAGCATTGTTAATTGATACTTGATAGTCCTTTTAGATGACAAGCAGTGCAATAATTTGTTTATACCAGCAGCACCACAAACACGTGGGTAACGTGTTGCATTAGGATGACGATGGTGTCACTAGGAACCAGGGATTTTTTTGAGCTCCATTAGCATTTTATGGGACCAGCACTGTGACTATCATTGACTGTAAGGTCATTATGCAGCTCACAGCTGTGTTTTAGAGCTGCTGATCGGCCTGAGATACCCATGAGAATCAACTAAAGAGACTCTGCTGTGGATTTCTATGGTCTCCAACTCAGACCAACTGATGCAATCTCTGGAGGCAGGTCCTGGATAGAATCTCTGGAGGCAGATTTCCTAGGTGATTCTGAAATCCAGCCAGAGCCCCTGAAAATTAGACTAGAAAAAACTATGTGAGCTTTCTTTCTGGAAAATCTGGGACACAGTGGTGCATGACAGGGTGAACACTTGATTCATTTCCAGGCTCATGGATGGGGTTCTCAGTAATACCCTAAGTCTCAACTAAGTGTATTAATTCCAGATGAGAACTGACACCTTCTCTAGGGCAACCAAAGCTTCTAATGCCAATCTCTATCTGAAACCTGAAGCTAACCCTTTCCTGCTTCTTTTTATGGTAAATATTAAATTAAAAACTTTAGAATAGCACCAAGCCAACAAGAGGTAGACAAATAACATTTTTGTAGGTATTATCAGACACAATGCACCATTTACCCAGTCTCACAGAAAAGTGAGTGTATGTCTCCTACATTTCAGTCAATGTAAAGTATTATGGCTTTATTTTTGATCTATCTGATCAGTGAAAATGACATATACTTATTTAGCATTTAATGGATTATTGTGGCAATCATTTTATAGGATTCTTTATAGAGACCACATTAGTTGGGGTAGGGATTAAATTAATATGGGAAGCTGCAATGAAGAAAAAATCCAGAGGCAGTAAGTGGTGTTACTGTGGAAATTCTGATTTAAAATGTGTGTAATGTGCTTTGATTATGATCTGCTCCTCTTACCCCACAGTTTCCTGATACTCTTCAACAAACTGCTTCTCAGATGATTGGGAAACAGCTTCCTAAAGAGTTCCTCTGGACTGTCCTTGAATCTGTTCGGAATAGCAGTGTTGAGAATCCTCACTTTCATCCCATCCCTGGTGAGTGTTGCTGGGATATCTGATCTCATGCCAGGGTGGTAGTGTTCTTGGTTGAGTCCTGACATTAAAAAGCCTCTTTGCTCAAGGGAAAAATGAAGTATTGAGGAAGAAATATAATGATGAAAATCCACAGGCCAAAGAAAAACACCTTTGTAAAGAGATTTGGAATCATATTTTACATTTTTTACTGAGGCTGTAGGTTTAATGGATGAATATATGTAACAAGCATTTAAATAGGATTGTCTTAAAGGACTGACATAGTTTAGCAGCTAAATATTGCAAATATGGGGGCCCAAGTCTGTCACTTACTTACTACTATTGTGTGACTTTGCAGTAGTGTTTTAACTTTTCTGTACTTCAGTTTTCATCCTCTGTAAAGCAGGAAAAAAGAAAACCCTATAACTCACTGGGTTATTTTGAGGATTAGTAGGCTTAAACCTACAAACATATCCACAGTGGTGTATGGCATGTAGAAAACATTCAAGAAGTGCTAGATATTTTCATTATCCTTACTGTGTTCTATGTGCAGACTTGTGCCAGCCACGAGGAAACAGTTAATCAGACCTAATAAGAATTGTAGAAGTCACTGTTAACAATCAGTGATTGCTTGCTTTCATCCATTCAGCAAATATTTATTGAGCCTCTATTATAAATGACATAAAGAGAAAAAAAAATCCCTGCTCCTCATGAGCTCACTTTTAAATGAGGCATAGCCAAACGATAAATTCCATACATAAACAAAATATATAGTACATTGTACGATGCTGGATGTCAAGAAGGAAAATACAGCTGAGAAAGGCAGCTGAGAGCCTCTGATGGGGGATCATGATGAGAAAAGAGCGTCATCAGGAAAGGTCTCATGGTGGTGGTGATGTGTGAATGAAGCCCCATGGAGTGTGGGCCATATGGACACTTGGGGTTAGAGCCTTCCAAGCAGAGAGAGCACAGTGTCTTTGTTATTTTCTTGTCTCTGGTACGAAATACCTGACATCCATAAGTTAAAGGGTGAGAGGTTTATTTTGGCTCACAGTTTGTAGAGGTTTCAGTCCATAGCAGGCTGGCTCCGAGGCAGGATGCCATGGCAGAGGGAAAGTTCATGGTGTGGCATTCAAGGGAGGAGGAATATATAACCATAGTGATCCACCTCTTCCCATCAGCCTCCACTTTCCAATATCATACTCAGCTATAAATCCATCAGGGAACTAATCCAGTACCGAACACCCATGATCCAGTCACCTCAAAATCTCACGTATGAATGCATCTTATATATCACATTTCATCTTCATCACTGCCCAATAAGATGAGCACTACGATCTTTTCATTTTCTTGAGGAGGGAAACTGGGGCTTAGAGAGATTAAAGGTTGTGGGAAGAGTCACAGAGCTGGTATATGGCAGTCCTTGGACCTATGTCCAAAGCTGGTGGTATTTACCACTGGCTCAGTTGCCCATAAAGCCTAGCAGTTCAGGTGTCCCTGTATTGTTCTTCCTGTGTGCATGCAGGACACAAAAACAAGACATTTCTCACTCAGGGGAAGAAGCTCTGTTGAACATAATGAATTTTTATTAGTTGGTGCTGGGTGTCATCTGCTGCTCTGTTTTTAGTCATTAATGCATCAACAGGATCACTACTTGGTTTTATTTTAGTTAATGCACATACATGTGCTCCTTCACTTTACAAATATTTGCCGAACACCTACTGCGCACCATATTCTCCCCTAAGCCCTGGACATCCAGAGTACTACGACCAAGCTCCTGCTGTATTGTCACTGATCCTGGGGAATCAGGAAGGATGTCTTTAATTTTCTGCAAGTGGGTTGTGATAAAGATGTTTAGGCCCTAGTTTTGCCTCTTGATTAGAACCCAGTGAGTTAGCACTGAAGACACAGTGAGAAGGGAGTGGTCACAGAGCTTGGGAAATGCCCTGGCCTCAGATTGTGCTTGTGAGTCAGTCCATATCAGTCATGGTCAGCTACTAAAATGAAAAAAAAAAAAAATCCAGGGCTGCTCTTAAAGAGCCTTGAGTTTCCTTGGAGCCAGAAATGATGCTATTTTATTTGAATTTTGGTGGGTAACTGTTCAGACAAGCCTCAATTTATTCAAATACTAAAGTGGGTGGGTTTTTCCTGTGGCCCAGGAAAATGCAATAGGCCCTTTCCTCTTCTTTGTTGGAGCAGGGAGGCTATAACCTCCACTGTGACTTCTGTGGACAAGAAATCATTCTCTCAGTTGGATAGGAGAGGTTTTTCCTCTGGAACCATTAATGCTGGATTGGAAACTCAAATGTTTAAGGGGCCAGGCAGACATCAAATAATAATAACAATAATAATAATAACGGCAAATAATTACTAAGTGCTTACTGTATGCCTGGCATTGTTCTAAGTGTTTTCTATATTGACAGTGTTTTCAATTTTCTTTATCATCATACAAGGTGATTTTTATGCCTATTTTAGAGACAAGGAAATGAAAGCACAGAGGGCTAAATGCTCTGGATTTGAACCCAAAGTCATGCCTGTTTGCCACAAGTGATTATCCTTAAGGAGTTTGTAATTAAGTTAGTGTTGTGAAGCTCCTTCATTTGCATGTGGCTATGCAAAAACCTGGCATTTACGTGAGTTTTGTTACCAGGTAGTTAACAAAAATGTCAGAAGTGGAGTTTGAATTGGCCCTCAGGTCTGTGCCTCAACTCCTGTGCTATCCTGCCTCTTGAGAATCAGTCTGACTGGTAAAGGATTTTATTTAATAAAACTGACATTCCTTTAAATGCTCTTTCCACTGTTCCTCCTCTGCATTCCTTCATTCTGGATGGAGGTTGCCATGGAGTCCCTGCTCCTTCTTCCAATGACATCTTTAAGTTGGCTGAAGCCAATGCCTGCTGGACTCCTGAGGCTCTCCTCTGCATGGGAGAAGACACATTCATTAGGAACGTGGAGCTGCTGGGGGCTGTCAAGAGTTTCAGTTGGCCTCAGCTAATGGCCCTGAAGGAGAAGGCGATCCAGGTAAAGCTTACCTTTGGAAGGAAGCATCAATCAGAAAAAGCAATAAACAAAACCAAAACTCAGCCCTAGAATCTCTGTGCATGTAGCCCTCCTCAAGGAAATTACATGTACCTTATTTGGTTGAAATGTCACTGCCTGAGCTTAACGATATAGTTGTGAGCTCCTAATCTGAGAAGTGGAATTATCTCCTGCCTCTTAGGACAGTGGCAGAAAATGGATTGAAATGTGTATTGGCCTCCTGTAATCAGAAAATCAAGTTCGGTGCATATTCTGACTTAACCTGCTTCCTGGAATTCTGCCTTTCCTTTCTTTGCTTAGAGTACCCTAATTCCTGCCAACAGAATTTGTTCAGTATCTATTGCAAATTTATCTGAAAACTGCAGGAAAAAGTAAAATGACAACTGGAAATATTTTGCCATCTTTAAAAAGTTCCCAATGAATGGGTCATTTTAGATGTTGGGATATTTGTGGAAGATCTGATAACCTTCGTGGGGTTAAAAATTAAGTTGCTTAAAACTGTGTGTCTTAGTTACTTTCCTCTTGTTACTGAGAAAAAATACCTGACACCCAAAATAAAGGAAGGAAAGGTTTATGTAGCTCACAGTTTGTGGAGGTTTCATTCCATAATCAGCTGGCTCCAAGGTAGGGTGGCTTGCCTGGGGAGCAACAGTTCATGGCAGCAGAAAATAGCAAAAGCGGTAAGAGTAAAAATGGAGGAGAGAGAGAAAGAGAGAGCAAGCCTCTCCCTCCCTTATATTGAATGCAGGTTCCCCTCACCAGAGCAGGTGTAGGACTCACACTCATAACTCACAATCACAAGTGATTCATGGTCCCAGCCTTGGACCATGAATCAATTACAAACTATTCTAGAAGCTCATCCCCATGACTGCATGAAGCTGTGGGGGGGACATCTAGACACAAACCATAACACTATATGTAGAACTGTATGATTCGACAAGTAATCCAAGCTTATTGAAGAAAAGTCAGAAAATAATAAAATAATACCAATCTTTTACCCAGAACTAAGCATTTAAAAAATTTTGGTATGTTCACCTGAAACCTCACAGACTTCTGTGTGTGTGTATAAAATATAGAGTTCATACATGTATGTCACATTGATGGTCATTCCTTATTGCCTATGGAGAAATGACTCCTGGATCCCTACAAATACCAAAATCCATGAATGCTGAAGTTCTTTATATAAAATGATGTAGTACTTACATATAACTCACAATATCTCATAACATGTAAATGCTATGTAAATATTTGTTATACATGTTGTTTAGGGAATACTGACAAGAAACATGCTTTTCAAATTCAATATAGATACAATTTTTTTGGTGTGGTGCTGGGGATCAAATCCAGATCCTGGTGCATGACAGACAGCCACTCTACCCCTGAACTACAATTCCAGCCCCAGATATCGTTCTTTTGGGGATATGGTTGATCCATGATGGTTGAATTTGAAGTTTTCAGAATATGCAGATAAGGAGAATTGACAGAATTCACATATGTATGTCACCAAAAAAGTTATCATGCACACAGTTCAATAACTTGCCATCTACATCCAACGTTAATTTTTTAAAATATCAAAATGATAAATCATTTTTATATTTTTTGCTTTTTTTTAGCCAAGTGTAAGGTTCTTAGACTGTGGTACATCTTTGTATATATGTCTTTGGGTGCTTGTTTCATAATTTTCTTAGGCTAAGTTCCCAGAAGAAGAATTTTTGGGTAAAAGAGTAAAAATCTATAAAATCTTTTTGATACCCATAGACAAATTTCCCTCTTAAAACCAAGTATCCATTTATATTCTCAGCAACAACAAATGAAGGTATCCTTTACCTCATGTCTTTACAGTTTCATAAATGATCATTCGTTTTACTCTTTGTCAATATGATGGACCAATATGGTCTTAATTATTATTTTAAGAATTATTTTAATTATTTTTATATACATGTATATGAACATTACATATACATACACATATACATATGTTGTTACTTTCAACAGCACAATGTTTACATATGTGTGTCTTATTTATTTTACTAATAGGTATGGCCTCAAGTTGCATCCATTTATAAAAGTCTCCAGTTTATCATTCTTTATGGCTGAGTAGTACTCCATCTTAGAAAAATACTGCATATTTCTAATCTTTCCTCGGTAGATGGGCATTTAGGTTGTTTCCAAGATCTAATATTACAAATAATTTAATTATTTTAAATCAGAAATTCATTAATTATAATTGAGAACTAACTTTTTAAATGTTTGTTTCTTTAGACAAATGTCTTTTTTTCTTAATGATTTGTAAGATAGTTATATATTAAGGAGACTTACCTGATGTCTTTGTTATTTTGTTTTTTCAGCACTGAGGATTAAATGAAGGGCCTGGCACATGCTAGGCTATCACTCTACCACACCCCCAGACTTTTTTATATTTTACTTTGAAACAAGATGTCACTAAGTTGTCCACGGTAGCCTCAAACTCATGACCATCCTTTCTCATCCTCCTCAATAACTGGGATTACAGGCTTGTGCTATTATTCCAAGTCCTGTGTCTGTTTTAAATACTGTTTTATCTTGTTTCAGCTGCTATAAGAAAATACCTTATAGCAGGTAATGTATAAACAATGGAAGTTTACTTTACACGGTTTTAGGAGCTGAGAAGCCCAAGACCAAGATGCTGGTAGACTGATTACCTGGAGAGGGCTTGTTTCTCATAGATGGCACTCTCTTGCAGCATCTTTATACAGCGAAACAGGACAAGAGCTTTTGAAAGTTTCTTGTATAAGGGCACCTATGCCACTGAAGAGGGTAGAGCACTCATAACTTAATCACCTCTCAAAGGCTCCACCTTCTATACCATCACATGGTGAACTAGCTTGCAATGCATGAATTTTGAGAGAGATATAAACTCTCCGACTATAGGAAATGGTGTCACTAACATTCTGTTATTATCCTCACATAAAGGTTTGGAACTCACCTTCCTGCTGGAGAGGACACCATGTTGTCTCCCTGGGGCGAATTGCTCTGGCTCTTAACGAGACTGAGCTGACACAGCTGGACCTCAGCTCCATAGACACTGTAGCTTCTCTGAGCCAGCAGACAGAGTGGACCTTAGCACAGGTAGGTAGATACTACTGGGTCTTTTAAATATTCTCATTTTCTCTGAATTTTGCTTATATCTTTCTTGTTTATATTGAGAGCACTTATAATGGCATTCACATCCTTGCTACTAATTCAATTATTGTTATTTTTGAATCTCTTTCTACTAATCTTTTTTCTCCTAGTTATGAGTCATATTTTCTTGCTTATTCGAAAGCCTAGTTACCTTTTTTTTTGTCTTTTTGAGATAGGGTCTTGCTGTGCAGTTCAGACTGGCCTTGAACTCACTTTGTAGCCCTGGCTGGTTTTGAACTTACAACAATCCTCCTGCCTCAGTCTCCCAAGTGCTGGGATTAAAGGTGTGCACCATCACACCCTGCTAAATCTAGTAATTTTGACTAGTTGATGGGCATTACGAATTTTACACTGATGATTTTTTTTATTTAGTTATATTCCTTTAAAGAATGTTGGGTTTTGTGCTGGTCTGTATTTAATTACATTATTTCCTTTTTGAGCTTTCTTAGGGAAAGTCCAGAGCAACCTTTATTTTGTGGCTAATGTATCTCCATTATCGGGACATGTTTCATCCAAAGATCCTGCTTCATACACCATGTATTTCAAGATCTCTCCACTCTGGCTTGTGGAGATGTGAGCTTCTTTCCATCTCCATGTGTAAGCTATGGGAACTGATTAACCTGTTGCCTTCTGATATCTCTCTTGCCTCTGTGGAGTTTCAGTAAAAACTTTGTGGAGTTACTTGTGCACATCAGGACTCAATACCCAAGCAGACATCTTTGCAGATTTCTACAACTCTTGCTATATAGTTTCTTCCTCCCTCATACTTGCCACACAAACAGTAGGTGTCATGGCCTTCTGCATGCTCTCTGTCTCTGTCTCTCTATCTGTCTCTCTCTCTCTCTGACTCTCTCTCTGTCTCTGTCTCTCAGTTATTTATAGAAAAATGTAGATTGTCTCTTCTCTGAGGCTGCTTATGTGGAAAGAAAACACTCGAAGAGTTTGATTTCATTTCCTTTGGGGCCACCTGTGAGATTTATACTAGCTTAGAATAGAGCTTGGGCACAGAAATTGTATCTATAAAATATGACTAGGACATATTTTTTCTTTAAAAATATGGTTAGACATACATGTTTTATCACATAGGAAATATTTGTTGAATAAATGAATGCTGAAACATTCTCATTCCAGAGGGGTCAGTGGGAGTAGTTGCTATTTTTTGAGTATCGAGGTGAAGTCATGTTGAAGAATAGTTTGCTAGGTTGTGTGTGTGTGTGTGTGTGTGTGTGTGTGTGTGTGTGTGTGTGTGAAATTTTGCCCTTGGATCTGTGTCATCAACTCAGCTAGATCACTGGGCTTCTTTGGTCCTCCTAGAAATCGTCTCTAGGCAGTGAGCAAGGGCACTTTCTGAGCTCATCTTATTTGTTTTCCTTCTTTCAAGATCACTGTCCTGTGCCCCCTGTTGTCCAATATCTGAATGTAGTAGTTTCATATTTTGTTCAGTTATTATAGTTGTATTTTTTGTATGATTGCTCCCCCCTACCTCCAAGTTATTTTAGTTGTTTGTGGTAGTAGAAAAATTCCTGTGATGGCTAATACTTTATGGCCTAAAGAAATGGTTTTCCCAAGAATTTTAATAGTTTTCATTGGAAGAGATGTTTAGGGTGTCTAATCCCCTGGGTTCTGGAGAGGGAAGTCCTAACTCCTTCATGTTACCTTCATTCAAAGAGACTTCACCCTCAGTGGTCATTTTCAGTAATAGTCTTGCATATTATCTAAATAGAAACTTTACAGAAATGTATTTTTCTTCACCTGTGTTTTACAAAGCTGCATCTTTAATTCCAACAATGTGAGTGCCTTTGAACGACCCTCAGGTTAGGGGTAGAATATACTGGTTGGACAGGTGTGTCGGCTAGTACAGTCTCTCTGCCCAGCATTACGTGAACTGAGAGTGAGGAAGGGCATGTGGATTGATTAAATAACCCCTAAAAGATGTCTATGTAATGGTTTGTATCTGGATGTTCCCCCAAAGCTACATGTGGTCATGGGGGGACCACCTTTTTGGTGGTTGAATCTAGAGTTTGTGATTGATTCATGCATAATGCTAGGATTAAGGGTGTGAGTGCTACACCCCCTGTGCCATGTGCCACCTTGCTTTGGAGTCAGCCACTTACGGACTGAAATGCTACAAACTGTGAGTGAAATATCCCTTTTCCCCTTTAATTTTTGGTGTCTGATATTTCATCTCAGCAATGAGAGAACTGTAAGTAAGACAGTCTACATCTGTGACCCATAAAATATAATATGTTGTCTTATGGGACTTTGCAGATGAGATTTATTTAAGGATCTTGAGGTGGAAAAGACACCCTGGATCATCCTGGCTCCAGCATGATTACAAGGGTTCTTGTAAGAGACAGTTAAGAGCACCACAGCTACACAAGGTGATGTGACAGTGAAAGCAGAAGGAAACAAGAGATAAGGAGTTGCTTTGCAGTTGGTTTTCAAGATGGAGGAGGAAGCCTCTAGGAGCTAGAAAATGAAATGTCTTTGGAACTTCCAGAAAAAAAGTGCCTTGCCTGATTTATTTTCGGGCTTAGGGTCTCCAGAACTTTAAATGAATATGTATTTTAAGCCACTAAGTTTGCAGTAATTTGTTATAGCAGCAGTAGAAGACTAATACTGAATAATTCTTGGAAGTAAAAGTGTGGTGATATTAGTAAACTTATAGACATTGGGTGCTGGGCAGGCAAAACCAATGTTTTTCCCCTACTCTTATGGGCTTTTTGTAATCAAGGTTTTCATATTCCACAACTCTTCAGTGTCATCATTTAGGTGGAACACAGTGTGAAGGGTACTCCCTTGAGCTGGGTGACATGGAGATCCTGGCCATGGATTGGATGAAATAATAAAATAAAGTACTTTGGGTAATGTCTGATACAGAAAGATCAATAAAAATCAGTTGGTTTTTTCATTTTCATCATCATCATCGTCATCATCACCATCATCATACTTCATCCTTCCCCCTTCTGGATTAGTTTCTTCATCTGCAAGATGAGAGGGTTAAATCCAGAAATCTAGAATTGTTTCCATTTCAGCATTCTACAATCCCGTGGTTCTGTATCTCTAAAACTGGCTTTGACTAGTTTAAGAAGTGCCACATCACACATCCGATATTAAAATCATTCTATTTGCAGTCTGAGGGAAACAGAAAAATATATCCAACTTAGAAACTAGAGTGTCTCTTTCCCTTTGCACCAATTTTAATTCCCATGGATGGCAGCGAGATTTATCAGTATGTTCGAAGAGGATATGAAAACCTAACATTTGCATATATCATTTGCAGTCAGTTCCTCAACTTTAGCTCCCAATCAAACCCTTAAATGCATTTTTCTAGATTAATAGTCAGACCTGGAGGAACTATATTAACAGATAGTTCAGCTTAAAAACCAATATAAGAGGAAAAAACTATTACAGAAGCCAGAGGGATGAAGAGAGAGATTGAAATCTTACAGTTCCTCATTTTTCAGTGGTTAATATTGCCTATAAAGTGTTGGTATTAATTGTCTTGGAATCATTACATATACGCTGGTCCAGTCATTCAGTGAAACATTTTGACTTATCACCCTGCAGGCTGAGCTTGCATTTTCTGGGTTCCAGAGGCGAGGACAATTTAATACCACATCTTCAAAGCAATTTTGTTTGAATTGTACTTTTGCACTTTCATTTTAAAGTGGGAATGCCTCATACTTGGGGAGAACAAATTGCAATGAGTCAACTAGTGAAAGTTGATTGTGAAGACTTAATAAGAAAAATTCAAAATCTATCTTGAATCTTCATTTTTTCCCTAGCCAAACACCTTCACTATAAGAGTACAAATTCTTGATTCTGATTGTCTGAGCTTTGATCCTAGAACCAGTATTTTCTAGCAATGTGCTATGGCTTATTTAACCTCTCTCTCTGCCTCAGTTGCTTGTCTGTGAAAGAAGATTAATATTGCTTAACATTAATACTTATATTAATACTTAGGATTGTGACATTAGATAATACAAAGTTGTTCAAATAGTTCCGGCACACAGAAAGCATTCAGTGTTAGCTATTATTGTTTTGTATGTACATTATGTGTTAGTTGAAGATATTTACATCTTAGAAGAGCATTACTGAAATCCCCTATAGTAGCTGTGAGTTTAGTAATCACTGAAGGAAATTTAATAAAGAAACTGATCAGTCAGTTTACAGAATCATGGGAAATCTCCCTGGGGTCAATTCATTATGTGAAGGCAGCAAAGTGATGCTATTTCAAAGGAATACATATTGCCCATAACTTCTCTGCGTCACTCACTCAGATGTTCATTCATTCATTTATTCATTCATTTAAAAAGTCCTTACTGGATTCTCACAGTGTGGCAGGTATTACGGTAGATGGTTGGGGCAAAATGGTGAACTCTTGATGAGGATCTTGTTTGTGGGGAGTTTACTGGTAATACAGACAAAAATGTCAGTGACGAAGATGAACATGCTTAAAAAATTGTGGTAGGTGATAAATAAAATGGACCAGATACTCATGGGGAAAGTGGGGAAGGAGATTGTTTGAGCTGATGGAGCCCAGGGCATAGTCTTCTCTGAAAAGGTAGTGCTTCAGTGAACCCAAGGGATGGAAAGGCTACAGCTGCATGAACTTTGAAACCTTTCACAACGTTTCTTTACACTTTTCTTAACACTGTGGTGATCCATATTGTGTGATGGGAATGACTAACATTAAAAAGTGAAGGGAACCTGATTATATTATTGTGACCTTTCTCCCACGAAGGGGATGCTCATTCTTGGAAGTCTCTTTCTCTTCCTTGCCTTGTGATTTTCTGTAATTCTTTTCACCTGCTCCAGTGAATACCAAATGAGTTAGACTTAATTATAAAGCTCATCTCCAAGGGAGTGGTTTGGATCCTTCTTCAGGTCAACACAGGTAAATCAAGTGAATCAAGGCTCAATAATGTAGCAGCAGACTAGTTTGTACAAAAGAATCAATTTATCAATTCCCCATAATAGAAAAGTTTAACTTTAGAGTTCAGGAATAGCTCAACCCAGGAGCTTCAGCACTATTGTTGGGAGTCTAGTTCTTACCAACTTGGGGGGTCCTCTGCTTTCTTTTGTATTGGGGTGAGGCTTTCAATGTAGTAAAAGGTCTTTCCATCTAGCAGTTCTGCATTTAACTCATTCCAAGGATCGATGTGTGTATCCTTCTGAATTAAATCCAACCTCTCTCTTAATTGATCTGATCAATTAAGATGGTTCTGGCTGAATCACATGTCTACTCCAAGACCAATCACTGCATCCAGTTCAAACACAACTTGGTTGGACAGGACTAGGCTGTATCACTATATCTCTGCAGTTAACTCAGACTGAATTACATGAAATAAGAATATAGGAGGGCGATGGATTAACTAATGGTCAATTTGGAATACCCAATTGAACCAAGCCAGTTGTTCTGGGTGTGGAAGACCTACATGAGGATTTTTGCCAACAGCATAAAAGGAGAACTGGAGGGGAAGAGGGTGCATTGTTGATTCTCCTGGAGAAGCATGTTGCACTGGCTTTCCTGATATGAACTCAATTGTTCTCATCACTGGAGGGCCTCAGGTTCTCACTGTCACTGAAGATGGCTGCTGTTCTCTCTGGGGGAGCTCTGGTCCTTACTTTGAGGGCTGCTTCCTGACTCTAGTGCAGTTCCCTCAGCCTCATGGCACAGATCCTTCACTCTGATGGTGCAGACTTTCCAGCTTCCCCTGACTGTTGGGCCTTCCCAGTGCAGATCCTTGGTACAGACTTGCATGAGACATTGTTGTGGGCTTAGGCCTCCAGCTGGCCTCTGCAGCACATTGATATAGGATCCAGAGCCTCAGCTGGATTCTTTGGGTCTCTAGTCTGTGGACAGATGTTTTTCACTCCTCTGCATTTGACTTTTTGTGTGGATAATAGAAAATAACCCTATAAATTATGTGTCCTGTGTTAAATCTATTTCCTTGCATACCCTAAGTACAACAGGAGTGGTCCTCCAGGTACTCATGAATAATTAACAGCCACTATGCTGAATATCAGGGATCTTACATATCACTGCTCTTCAGTCAAAGCTCATTGGAGATATGCCTCTGTGATTTTTAACATCAAAGCATTTTATGTACTACTCTCTGGAATAGAAAGAGTGAAAGCAAGTATATTTCTGTAGAAAACAGAAAGAAATATTCATTCTAGCTGAGCAGGACAGGAAAAAGTTCTTTAAGAAGGTGATATTTGAATTGAACCAAAACATAAACAGATGGCTAAGCTGTAACACTTTGGAGCACAGAAGGGCATTTTGGATAGAGGGGCTGGCTTGAGCAAAGGCAGAAACAGGAAACTATTGGCTATTTTTGGAAAGTTGTGGAAACAGAGACTGGAAATATTTGGGTTTTGATACAGAAGAACATGAATGTCCAAAGTAACTGAAAATGATAAAAGTTTCTAAAGGAAATAAACAAGAAGCCATTTCTTATTATTTTATAGGCTAAATCCATCCTTCAAGGGTTCCTACAGGATTCAGGGTATAGCATTCAAGATCTGAAGAGCTTTCATTTGGTAGGACTTGGTGCCACTTTGTGTGCTTTGAATGTCACCGAAATCCCACTTATAAAGATCTCAGAATTCAGGTAACCAAAATACTAGTGTGCAGAATGACAAATGATCTGCCCATCCATTCATCCATCCATGCATCCATCTGTTATCCATCCATCCATCCATCCATCCATCCATCCATCCATTCATCCATACATCCAGTGTTCCCCATTTTCTGATGCTTTGGCTCTTTCTGGGCTAGAATAGTGAGTGGGATTAGCTAGATCTTGTCCCAGTGCTGGTCCTATTTATCTTCTGCACATTGGTTTTTGCCTGGAGATTTCCCCAAACTCATACTGTATCCTTCTCTTTCTAACAAGGATGGTGGTTTCCAGAATTGGGAAATTACTCTGTAGTAACCATGTCTTAGCTGAGTTTAAGAAGAAGGCAGAAGTTGTGTTTGGGAAGCCCACTGAATGGACCAGCTGTGTCTTACAGGAGCTTGGGACCATTGCAGGTAAGAGACCTGTGCAGCATACCTTTCACTCCTTTTCAAACTTGAATCTAGTAATAAAACTAAAAAAATAAAATTAAATAAAATAATAATCCTTGGCTACATGTGAGCGTCAATGGAGTTACTGTAGTCTAGACTTGAAGTTGTAGAGTAGGGTCTGTAAATGTGCTTTCAAAATAAGATTTCCTGGAGATTCTTGTGCATACTGCAGTTTGAAAAGCACTGGTATAGAATGTGATTTAATTGGCCTCTAAATAGATTTATACACAATCTTAAAGTGTGTAAATTGAAGCTCCTTCTGGGCATACATTTCACTGTAGGAGGCCAATCAAAGCTAATGTGACCCACATATTTTTCTGAGTTGATTAAGGAACTTGATTCCCTAGTGTGATTTTCTGGGCCTTTTGTAAAGAATGATGATTGTTCAGGACACGCAGATCTGTACATTATACAGCACCATTAATAAAACAAGTAGAGTTCCAATGGCTTGAACTAAACCCTCATAATTCCTTTTTCTCCCCAGCTGGATTAACTAAGGCAGAGCTCCAAATACTCGACAAGGAATTGATGCTGTATTTTCGGCCATCAGCAATAAAATGTCTTCCTGATGAGATCTTCAAAGTAGGTGCTCAGATCTTCAAGGAGAATTGGGAGCTTGACCCTGTTTCAGATCACATAACTAAATGGGTAACAGGCCTTGGATTCTTGGGGCTTGTCACCAGGCTTCTGGTAGTAGAACCAGAAGATATCTGTATGCCCACAGTGGATCATTACAAAATAATTTTATGGGTTTGAAAAAGTTTTAAAAAGGTGTTTATGTTTTAATTGGGTTTATTTTTATGGTCACTTTCTCTTGATAGCAAGAGATGCTGATTTCCTACTTATGATGATGTGGTAGGTTCATAAGTCCTTCTATAAAGCCCTTAGGGACAGATAAACTCAAAATTCAGATTTTTTTAATTTTAAAAGGATTGCCTTGTGCATGTATTATGTATCTTAACACCTCCAGTACTGTCTGAAGTAATTGTAAGCAAATGCATTACAATTTTTGTGAAGAAATCTGCGACAAGTCACACTAATTGGAATAAACTAAAAATAGCCTCACACCAATTCAGGTCAAATTTTGCTAGTAAATAAATTTGTCTTAAACTTTCGTGAAAAAAACCCAGTTTTTGGACATCAGATTTGCAGATAATAGATTTTGGAGCTTTATAACATTTCCTTTCAAATAAAAATATTATGGTTGATTTAAAGAAAAGTGTTAGGTAAATCACAATAGGACAGGTGATTAATTGGTGTGGAAAAATTGAAAGAGTGAAAATGGATAAGTTGAAGCACGTGAAGCAGGAAGCTCATTGAGAGACCCTTGCTTCCTGTCAATGTGCAGGAGTGGGAATGTTTGGTTGGGACAGTCTGCTCTAATGTGGAGTGACACTGGTGTCATTGCTTTCTGAGCGATGTTGGAACACATTCTATCCGCCACATCTGGGTAAGGCATTTTAACTGGCGATGCCACATCGCTGGTTATTTCAAAACTGACAACGGATCGAGAACCATTTCAGCACCCTGGACAGTTCCCAACACAGCTTAGGTGCAGTAGCTGGGAGTACAGAACAGTTCTCAAGACTGTTGCACCAATTCCTGTTTCCCTTTTGAGGCATTCTGCATGGGAGAGGCAGCTTGGTTCTGGCATTTTTCTAAGCACGTATTCTTGGTCACATTTTCAGAACAATTGTGGCTGTTTCATTGTTGAGGTATTATCTAGTCCCAAACTGCCTATTGATAACCTACAATATTTTAGGCTCTGGCTTAGGGGTACTGGGGATCTACAGAGTCACACAGTTACTTCTGGGGCCAGAAAGATAAAGGAATGTAGCCAGGTGGGTGGGGACTACGTTGAATGGGAGATCCCTGTTAAAATGAGGAGGCTGTTTCTCATTTCTGGCACGTTAGTGTGGTGTGATTATGAAGGCCTAGTGTTTCTATACCTTATTTTTAAATAGAAGCTGCCAGGAACCTTCATTTTCATATGAAATCTTTTGATAATTAAATGTTGGCAGCCAATCTGAATTCATTTTTGAAAACACAGTAGGCCTAGAGATTCAATCTGGCCTGTGGGTCATAGGTCAACTTTGGAAAGATTGTTTATTTTTGTAATACAGACTCTGTGTTAATGGTATATAAAGCCTTTCTCTCTCTCTCCCTCTCTCTCTGTCTCTCTCTGTCTCTCTTTCTCTGTCCCTCTCCCACTATCTCTCTGAGATGAGGAGGAGGTGATGCTATGATTTGGACGACAGGTAAGCTAGGCAGAAAGAAAAGAACAAAATTCTAGGCAGAAGGAAGTGCCTGAAGGACAGGGCTCCTGGGAACTGTAGACACAGATGCTCATTCTTCTTTTTTGTCTTTTTTTTTTTTATTGGTACCGGGGATCGAACTCATGACTGCCTGCTTGCAAGCAGGCACTTATGCCACTGAGCTAAATCCCCAGCCCTGAGATGCTCATTCTTTTGGAGTGAGGTCCTCAGGGGTGAAGCTAGGGAGCTCTGGGTAGAACTTGAAGGGGGCATTGATATATTCAGGAACTTGAATTATGTCTTTGGGAGAAGCATCTAGCTAGACAAGAGAGAAGAGGGTGACTGAGAGAAGGAGAATGGATAGGATTATAAACAGCATTTCTCAGATTTAAGGGCAGGACTAAAAACAATTAGAGTGAGGTCAGCTGCCCTTCTATAAGAGCAGAATTCTGTCACCTCATCTTGTTCCACTCCCACAGGAGCTAGTCACCACGTCCTTTGAAGCTGGTTGACCTCAGAAAACATCTGAGGTCCAGATGATTTCAAAGACAGTGTACTCAGCAGAATTTTCCACTTCTCTGGTGGGAGACATCCCCATTAGGTTATGCGCTTTTCTTCTTCCGAATCTCAGTGGAATTTATGGCATGGTGTTCAGGTAGTCATGCTGATGAGTCAGAATTGGCATGAGAGATGAATTCTCTGAGCCATCTAACAGGTAACCCAAGAACTCAGAGATGCTATGTAACTTGTCCAAGACCACGCAGCTAGTATGTGGCAGAGCTGTGACTCAGGGTCAGATCCGTGGCATTCAGGCCCGTGCCTTCTTTCCTACATAAGTATTTTCTCAGGTGGGGAACTTGGAACATTGGTGAGATATCTTTCATGGATTAAACAATATTGTCACAGAGTGAGAAAATTATGATCCTCTTTTCAACTGTCCTTTACTACAGCATAGTTCCAGGATAAAGTCTTAATTTGGAGCGTCAATGTTTTAAAGTAACTTTAACCATTTAAGTTCCTCTATCCTTTCTTTTTTAAAACATGAGGGATCCAAATATTACTAGTCAACAGACCTAGTAGGAATTCAAATATATTTTTAAAACTTCTATTTAATGCTTACTTATGGCAAGTCTTGCTGCTTTGCCATGTTTAAAAATTTCTGTTTTTTTTCATATATATATATATATATATGTTGTATATTTGGGTAGTGAAAGAATGATCTGGTGTTAGGGAAGCATCTTACAGGCACACAGATGGCACTAGGAGAAGGCAAGGCTGTGTAGATTCTGAGAAGATGGTCAAGGCTTGGGAAATCCAGGGAGGGTCCGTCCTGACGGCTTGCCCCCTTTCCCTGCTGCAGGAGCTGTCCGCGGAGCAGATCCTCTCCTTGGGCCCTGAGAACGCGGCTGCCGTTACCCACGCCCAGAGCCGGCTGCTCAGCGCGCCACAGCTGCAGAGCCTCCAGCGGGCACGAGATGGCGCCAAGCTTCACTCCTGGCAGGACGTGCCCGAGAGCTCCGGCCCTACTCAGACTGCGGCCTCCGAGTCTCCCCCGGGTGAGAGGAGCCAAGCCTGTCTGGGGTCCCACCCCACCTCTCTTCCCTGTCCCTTGGTTTACCTGCAGGACTTGGGGCAGGAGGTTACTAAATTCAGAACGGGCTGTCTATAGTCCTTAGGGATCTGTGCTCAGACTCAGATAACCTCAAAGCCCCTAGCAAGCTTCCCTTAAGTGAATCCCAACTCTAGCAGCACTTTAAAGTCACCTGGGAGAATGTTGAAAAATTCCATTTCGCTGAAATCCATTGAAGCAGAATCTCTCAGGATTAAATTCATTTCAGTGGGTCCTTTGTATCCACCTCCTTACTGTCCAGTATTTATTAATCCAACCAATATATATCGGACCAATATTTTAGTTACATTTTTCATTACTGGGCAAAATACCCGACACCCAGAGTTAAAGGAAGAAAGTTTTATTTAGCTCATAGTTTGTAGAAGTCAGTCCACAATCAGCTGGCTCCATAATCCGCTGACTCCAAGGCAGGATGGCAATGGCACAGGGGCAACTGTTCATAGTGGTTAAAAACAGCAAAATCAACAGGTAGGGGAGTGTAACAAGCCTCCCTCTGCCCCTTTTATCTTATTCAGATGGCTGGGATTAGGACAGTGCCAATCCAATCAGTGAACTGATCCAGCAATCACCCCTCCTTAATCCCAGCCCCCTTAATCCCAGAATTAAATTACAAATCAATCACATACTGTAGATTCAGCTACCTCCTAAAAAACCCCATCTAAAAATGCAAGAGGCTGTGAGGGGGACCTCTAGACACAAACCATAACAGACAAATATATGCCTGTAAATCTTTGGTCAGGTTGGGGACACAGAGATGAATAAAACAGGTGAAACCTCAGGGTAAAATGAAGAAGTTGATTTTATATATGATAAGAAGCCCTTTAAGGTGGCATATGCCTGTAATCTCATCACTCTGGGAAACTGAGGCAAAAGGATCACAGGTTTGAGCCCAGCCTGGGAAATTTAGCAATTTAGTGAGATACTGTCTCAAAATAAGGAAACTAAAAGAAGTCTTGGGATGTAGTTCAGTGCAGAGGCCCTAGGTTCTATCCCCAATACTGTAAGCAATCAAACAAAGGAACAAAAAACTGGATGAAGCTGAGAAGGGGAGTGTAGTAGTGACCCAGGCTGAGCATGATAGGGGCATGTTGTTGGGGGGACCCTCCCCTGGGAGTGGCACTCTACTGGTGGGTACAGCTTCCTTGTCCTTTTCTCCTCATTCCCTATAATTCTCTCACACCTTGGGGACTCCTGTCTCCATTGAGCACCACCTTTGGAGAGACCACTTGAATCAACCCTGCTATTTCCTGTCCTCATTGAGCTCCATGGAGCATGGGGTGAGGGGAAACTCACATACCCAGGTGGCCGTGGAGGCACATGGCCGAGGAGCACAGGCTCCAGGTAACACAGCTGGAAACGTACGTGGGCAGGATTGAGGAAGAAGGACCAGCTCATGGCAACCACTGGAGACTGGTGCTGTCTTGGCCGAGGTACTAGGTGTGGAGATGGACTCTGCTAAGTGGATTGTGCCCAAGTACAGGGAGCAGCCTGTGAAAACCCCCAGAGAAGAAAGAAAACGTGGTACTTAACTGAAACCTCTACCTGTCCTTCTTTCCCTGGACCTGATCATCATTCTCTGTCAACAGACTCCCCTCCCCATTCACTTCTTTGTACTGAGGATGAGAATTTGGGGGGATTCTAGATTTCTGCAGCCCCGGTAGCCAGAGGTTGCATTCATGAATAGGAGCCACATAGCCTTTGGTAATTATTATTTTGATAAACTTTGCATTGAAATATAATGTGCGTATCTTTAGAAATTACTTGTAAAGGTTATGGTATTTCGTATGAATAGAATAATACAATAGATAATACACATGGTTTAAGGTATATAAAATCTGAAAATCTATGTAATGAAATTTCCCTCTGTCTCTTTTCTCTTGGCCATCCAGTTCCCTTCCCCAGAGCAACCAGTGTTACCAGCTTCTAGTGTATTTTTCCAGAGATATTCTGTGCACAAACTACAAAATCAAATCCCTGCACTTTTACAAAGGCTTATTATATACCTTGTTCTGTACCCTCCACTTTTTTAACCTAATATTACACCTCCATACCTAATATTATACCTTCCATACTCATCCACAGGAGCTGTGCAAATGTTAGTTTTGTGGCTGTGCCATAACAATATCTAACCAAATCTGTATAAAAGGACATTTCTATTTTTTTTCCTGTTGTAAACTATGCAGCAGCCAATGGCCCTGAATAACTTGCACCTGTTAAGTCTGTCTAGGATAAACTTGTCAAAGCGGGATTGCTGGCTCAGGGATACACATATTTATAATTTTGATAGGCGTTGTCAAATCCCATGCAGAGATGTGGGTACCAGTTTTCCCTTGAACCAGCAGTGTCAGAAAGTGATGAAGGCAGGATCCTAGATGCCCTTTTCCCACTCATTCCCCTGGGCCTGCACAGTAGCTGACATTGGGTGAATCTTTCTAGCATGCCAGACTCTTCATCTCTTGTTTCCTAAACTTGTTTAATTATCATGATCACCCAAGAGTGATGCTTAAAGTGCAAATTTCAGGGCCTCACTGCAGACCTGCTGAATCAGAAGCTCCAGGGAAGCACCCTGATGCTTACATTTTTGTTTGTTTTTTGGCAGAGGTGGCAGAACTGGGATGTGAATCCAGAACCTTTGCACTGAGCTACACCCCCAGTGCTTATATTTTTTATTTTGAGACAGGGTCTTGCTAAATTCTCTAGGATAGGCTGGAACTTGCCATCCTCCTGTCTGTGTCTTCCAGATTGTTGGGATTACAGGTCTTTGGCTACATTTGTATTTAGAGCAGGTCTAAGACATGCTGATTCACACAATATCATTTCATTTGACTTTCCCCTTCTCTGTTCTTTTGGAGCTATTATTTCCGCTTAAGAGATGTATGCATAAAGGTGCAAAGCTGAGAGGTCCCAGAGAGAGAGGCTGAGAGGGAAGGAGGGAGAGAGAGAGACAGACAGACATAGAGACAGAGAGACAGCCAGACAGAGAGAGAGAGAGAGAGAGAGAGAGAGAGAGAGAGAGAGAGAGATTCAAAGAGGTGAGCACATTTCCAAGCTCTGCGGGGTGCAGAAACCTCATGTGTTGTCTTGTGTTTGCTTTCAGGAGTGCCACTCTCCAAGGATCTTTGGATTGGCTGCCCCCTGCTGCTTCTAATAGCCCAAACCTGGTGGAGAGTGGCCTGAATGTTCAGCCCTTTGCTGTCTTGAGCAATTGGTCAAGGTGTGTAAGGACAGAGGATGCTTCTGACTGTGGCAGACCCTTATCTGGACTCAGAGCTCAACTAAGGGCAGTGAGACCCTGGAGCCTTGACATTTAAAAGGCACCAAAAGGAAAAATAATTATTTAAAAGGATCTTGCAAGTTCTTAAGTCAGCCTGTCTTCCTAGCAGGGTGCCTTTTTTTCTGTCCTGTTTTAGCCTCCTTTGTTTTCTGCTTGGAGTTTGAAAAGCTGGAGGAGGGCAAGGTGTTTTCTGTTAAGAGCATGAAGATCTTACAAGTTACTGGCCTCCCTTGCTCTCTCCAGAGAACTAGAGGTGGGTGCAAGAAAAGATACCCTTTTAGCCAGCGTCGGATCTCATTTCTACTCTGGCTTAATTTCACTTCCTTGGTGCTATAGGCTGCATTGAATTTCTCCTTCTTCGATGCTTAGCAGAGCTGAAATAAATGAATCCCTCGACAGAAACCAATATTCTTGCCTGATTACTGCGACTAATTGATGTTTTGGTGGGCATTGCACCGCTTGGAAATTAAAACATTTAACATGGCTCAATGTTAAATCAATTATTAAATACATTTTCCAGATGCTTTTTATTTCCTTGGGAATCAGCTGGATGAATGACTGTGAAAGTTAAACTTTCAAAATCATCTCTTTTTGGTGGAGGTGGTGGCTCTCCTGGCTTTAAATTGCTCTGGGCTTTAAGGAAATAAAAATACATTGGATAAGACACTGATGTGATTGTGGCACAGCCCAACCACTCAGCCCCTGCCCCAGTCTTTCCGGGATGAAGTTACTTCTGCTAACTGCCAGGTTGCCCTGGCAGGAAGTCAGACCTCAGAAAAGGAGATGACAGTAAGTGCGTTCATCAGCTCTCAGGAGCCACGCCTTCTTGAAGCTTCTAGAAGCTTCTAGCCACACCTTCTAGAGGCTTCTAGTCCAAAGCTGCCTGTCACGACCTTCCTCAGGTGATAAGTTAAGCATACCTGGTTCTCCTCACTGCACGTCCACATTTAACTCCTCACCTGGAAACGAGGAGGAAAGCTTGTGTGAGTTCTCCTAAATCTGTGGTATTGCGTAAGAGGCAGGTAGATTTTACAAAGCATGAGTTGGAGAAACTGGTGGATTTGCAGATAGATGTCTCTTGTAGTAATGATAGAAAATTAAAACTGCCATGTGGATGGTAGAGGCCAATTGGTTTTAGGGTCTGGTTTGCTTTTCTTTTATTCTGGTGGGGGAGAGGCTGGCAAGGTTGTTTTTTAGGGATAGAATATTTTTCTTGTTATAGACATCAGCAGCCTCTCTTGTCACCAGGTCGGACCAGCTCCTGGGAGAAGGACACTGGGTGAGAACTTGTCTGTGCTGAGACTCATCAGAAAGGCTGAGGCACTCACTCATGTTCCTGCTCTTAATGGCTTTGGGTTAGCAGGTTTTTAAAAACTGAATTAACCTTTATTTATTTATTTAGAGAAAAGCAAAACAGAAAAAAGGGTAAAAACTACAGAATTTCAAAAAGCAATAACAGTAAGAAATCTCTAGTTGATATATTACATATTGTTATCTTAGAAATAGTTGTTCAGGTTACAAAATCAAAGCATAAAAAGTGGACATCAAACAATGACAGTAAAAACTATTCGGTTTAGTGAACTAATAAAAACTTAGTAGTATGGTTATCTATCTTGCACACATAAACATATGTATAGTTATATCCTTGAAAATACCTTCCTCCCTTTCATTATTACAGTATCTGTTATACATTTTGGATCTTACTACTGTGGGTTATGTTGAACAACTAAAGGTAAACAATAACAAAAACAACTCTCCTCTGAGTCAGACTTCATGTGGCTAACTTTCTAACTTCATGGCATTCAAGTCTCATCTTCTCCTTTAGTCAGAGGGTTCTCTCTCTCTCTCTCTCTCTCTCTCTCTCTCTCTCTCTCTCTCTCTCTCTCTCTGGCACTGTGACTTGAACCCAGGCCCTTGTATATGCTAGGGAAGCTCTCTACCATTGAATCATAAACTAGCCTTTTGAACATTGCTTTCTGGTTTACTTCCTGGTCATCCCTCCCACCTGGAATAATCATTTCTTCCATGACAGAGGGAAGACTGTGTCTGACTATTAAGAGGACTTCAACTGTAAATTAGATCATTTCATTATTACCAGAACCCTACTAGGTGGGTATTGTGATGATTCCCCTTTCCCAGAGAGGACTGACCCTAGAAGGGTTAAAAAAACTCTGGTCTAGGACCTCCCACACAGTACAGATTTGAATCCTGACTTCTTTATTTCTGCACTGTACCATCTCCAACCTGGTTACCTTTAACTCTCTAATAAGTTAGATCAGAGAGAGATTCTGTAAATCTCTTCACTTCCTTCTCTGGCGGGAGGCCAGCTTGCCTCACAGCACATATAATTGGTGATTGCCTCAGGCAGGAAGACAAATCTAGCTCATGCCCTGCAGGACCCCTGGGGTCTCAGGTTGAAATGCTTAGTCCCTTGCATGCAGGGAAGTGGCAGGTCACACTGGCAGGTGCTGTCCCCTTCACCTTTCAATGTCAGTCTTCCCTGTGGGTGCACAGCCTCCAGCCCTCCCAGCTTCCCAGATGGATGCAGGGATCAAGGTCATTTGCACAAAGGTTCCACTGTGCTTCTGGTCATAACTCTGATTGGGCAGGGCCGTGTCATTCTGGCTATGAAACTTTTTGACTATCATCCGGCAAGTTCTTTTGCAGAAGTCTCACCTTTAGGCCTAGTTTGAATGCTGAGCCTGGCTAGATGGGGGCTGGAAGTCTTCCTGCAAATTCAGCCTTCCCTTTGGTGAACTTGGAGTTCAGTTATTCTCTGTTGTCCTGGCATCCAGGGGTTCAGTGCACCTGCTGGTGATGGTTTACTCTGCCAAAGGATGCACCACTCCACTCTCACTCTTGTTTTCACTCTCTGTGTCTCTCTTTCTCTCTGTACTTGGATCTCCTGAAGAATCACCATGGAAGAGAGGTACAATTTGCTATTAAATGCTTTGGCATTTATTTCACCTTAAAAGTTCTTAGCCCACTCTGGCCTTTTTTTTTTTTTTTTTTGGACGGGTCTTGCTGTGTGTGTAGTTCAAGCTGGCCTTGAGTTCATGATGTAGCCCAGGCTGGCCTTAAACTCAAGGTGATCATCTTGCCTCAGCCTCTCAAGTGCTGGGATTTTAGGCATGAACCACTCACTTTGCCTCTTTAGAGGCCTTTAAAAATATCTGTCTGCCTACAAAATATACAGCCGGCTTATATAGATCATGTATATGAGTCACAGAAAAGTTAAGTATTGCAGAATTCCCAAGCCACACAGTGTCTGGCTGGGAGAGCTATAAAGTGTGTATCTTTTATTATTAATATATATTTATTATAATATGTATATGTATGGTTCCAAACACAAGTTTTAAAAATGCTTGCATGATATGAATTAACCTTCATAAATAATTGCATCTTCATGTGGAGGAATGTGTGGAGCAAACCTGAACTCAACCTGCACCTTGGAGCCAAGCTGAGCTCCGTGGAGCCTCAGCCAATACGAAGCAAGAAATAAACACTTATGAAAATCCCCTGAGAAGTTGGTGTGGTTACTGCAGCAAATACATTGTGTTGTCACCATGCTATCCTTGCATAGTACTGGTTTTAGTCCATTGATGGGAAGATGATGTGTTAATCTCTTGTATTACATTTCCTGTCACCTGCTGGGTATGCTAGGCTTGTTAAGCTCCTCTGCACTCAAAAGGGCCATGGGACTTTAGAGCTGATAATGGACTTTGATTTCTTTCTCTCACTTATTTCCCATCTTTCCAATCAGGGTTACTAATTGAAGGAAAATTTGGGTAGAATTCATACTCCCAACATGGTTATTTCACCTACTTTCCCATGAACTTTGTATCTAATGATTCACTGAACCACGTCACCTGGAATACTCTGTTCCAGCAGCCATTTCTTCTGGCTCCACAGCTTAGCTGCACTCTCTGGTATTAGCAGGGTCCTTTTTACCTGGAGTCTTCCGGAATTTCCAGGTCGTGTATTACCACATGGTTCTTGCATTGGCCTAACCTTAAGAAAAGACATTCAGGTTTAGGAAGTCATCTGGTCTTCCTCTTGGGATGTGGTCATGTTGTGCACTCATTCTAGAAGACTCTTTGAAATGACTGAGGTCAGCAAGTCTCCCTGAGCTGCCCTCTGGGTATCCATATCATCTTTACCTTCTCTCTGCTATGTCAAGTCTAAAGAGACCCCGCTGTCCGCCATGCTCCTCTGTGACCTTCTCTGGCATCTTGGGGCAGGGAACCAGAGACACTGATGAGCAGCGTGTATTCCTACTGATGCTCAAGCAAGCTGTGGGACCTGTCATACTGGAAAAGGTGGTGTTGGAGGAATGGACAAGCCTGTTCACCAGCACATATCCCATCAGAAAATAAGCTTCTATGGCCAGGAAATTTCTCTATCTTGTTCACTGTCACTGCCAAAAGCTGTTAGTAGGCTGGGTTATGATTGGTGTTCCTTACGTAGTTGTTAAAACCTATTTTTGTGTGAAAACCTGTTTTTTTTTTCCTTGCACTAAACTGAACTCAGTAGGGATTTTAATCAGACAAAGGTTGAGAATCACTCCAGAAGGGGGATGATAAAGGATTGCAATGTGTTTGTTTTGCAGAAATGTATGGGGAACTGACTTTTCTGCCAGGCCCTGTGCTGGATGAACAGATCAAGTGGGCCCTAAAACTCTGTCCTCATGGAACTTGCATTGTGCTAGAGTGTGGCAGAAGCAGACAATAAATGCACACACAAATCTATGAAGCATGATAAAAAAAACTATGGCGAATGTTAATTAAGATATTATTACAGTAAAAGACACATTGCCATAGGTAAAGTGATCACAAGGCTGGGGCGAAGGAAGGGCAAGGGGAAGAGGTGAGAGAAGAGGCTGGAGGGGTAACAAGCTAGGTTAGCAGGGTCTGTGGGCATTATGGGGCTTTGTCTTGTGGGTCTGAATGAGATAAAGTAGGAGGAGGTGGAACATCCCTGGGCTCTTTGCCCTTCACAGCTGCCTTCCCATGACATAAGTGCAATTTAGCAAAAGTAACAGTGGCTGCTGGAATTACCTTTGGTCTCACATTCTCTTTGTATGGCGTTGCTACTGTTAGTTGTCCTGGTGCCTCTTGGAAAAGCTTATACCATTGCAGATTGAGGAACATTTTCCTAGAAGATTCAATTTGGCCTTTTGTTCCCTGGCTTTTCTGTGTATCCTAAATATAAGGAGACACTTCATCCTTAAGACTGTATCCTCACCTCCATGTTCTAAATTCCAGACACCAGATCTCCTCTCCTTCCCCATACCAGGACCTTAAGCTGACAGGGCTCACCACGCTTCACCCATAGGTCCATCAGGGCCCCCTCATGTCACTGCCAAGCGCAGGAATAGGGTCTGGATTTGGACTTAGCTGAATCCAGGGACTCTAGGATTGTTACTTGGATTCATTTGCTCCTATTTGCTAACTATTAACATTGCATTTTTTCAGAACTGACTTCTTTCCTCTTCTCATGCTGTCCTTCAGCT